GACAGCATGTTCCGGCTCTTGATGTTTTTAAACTTTTCTTTTTAAAGAAAACTATTAAGTACAGAAAAGTCCAGATTTAAATATATTTAATCCCATTTCAAAAATTATTTTAATAATCCATTTCTCAATGAAAACACTGGATGAAGTTTTAAGGCTTGTACTTTAACATTGAATTTACCATCAACTTGTAGAAAAAAAATCTTAAGTGGATTTTTAGAGAGAGAGCAAGAAACCCTGATTTGTTGTTATTTGCGCATTCCTTGGTTGATTCTTGTATGTGCCCCGACTGGGGACCAAACCTGCAACCTTGGTGTGTGGGGAGGATGCTCTAACCAACTGAGCTACCCGGCCAGGGCCATCAACTTGAAAGCTTTTGAGCCATGTAAGGTGTTTGGGGGCATATATTTAAAAGAGGACACACCAGCTCTGAGTCCTATCTGTAATACAGAAACTGCTTTCGAAGCACTGTGCTCATACCCAAGTTGAGACTCGTTTTTACTTTCATGCTGTTATGATTTAATCTGGCCAATCAGTGTTTTAAATGAGGAAGAAAGATAATTGGTAAGGCTGATGTTGTTTAAATGAAAGTGGTTAGAAATATGCCCTATTATTCTACCAAATTTCTCTGTTCCCTCTCTTGCTACACATTGATCAAGAATTTCCAATAGTGCTTTGAAATTATGTGTAGAATATTTCGAATCATTGGGTTTTAGTTTTGTTTTTAAGAAAATCTTAGACTTTGTCTTTCCTTCCACCTGGTTAGTATGATCAGATCCATTAGTGGTAAACTAGTATTTTTCAGAACATTCAGCTTTTTCCTCATTCATACTCTTTTATTCAATAGGTGGTATATCCTTTCACTTGACAGAAATTGCCATATTGAACAGATTTTGCTATTTTTAAAATGATAGAATGTGGAAAGAAGAGAAATAATATTTTAAGAGATATAAGGGTGAAAATGCTGATTCTCTTATAATATTATAGGAAAATATATAGTTTTCTATCTCTTTCAAGGACAGAAGAGTTTCGGTTTTTATTTTTATAATTTTTATTAGTAAGTTGTAAGTACTATTTAATCGAGCCTGGTTGCATTTTTTAAAATTACACTTCTTGATATGCTGATAATTTTTCCTTTTTAAAACAAATGTCACAAAAGATTCTCTTTTATGTTTAAAAAGCTGCATGTTTGCTTCAAATCTCTGTACACTTCCTGTATGAGAACTTTGTGGCTGTACTGCCACCCACGGGTAATGCTTACCTTCTGGGCATTTATTCCAAAGTGGGATCTACTGTGCACCCTTGGTATGTGGCCAGAAAGTCTTTTGCTCAGCTCATAATTGAGTGCTGTCTAGTTTAGTACAGCATTATTTATTTCCCCAAGGCTAAAGAGGAGCAGTCCTGTGGTTTTATCCAGCTTTGTCGTGGATCCATGCTGTGTTAACTGCCTTTCCTCCCTTCTGTGCCTTTAAACACAAATTTTAGTTCTGCACAAATGAAACATTAAAAATTGCCAATTACAGATTGATGTGCTTTGTCTTTGATTTGACAAAATTTGCGCGTCATTTGTCACCTAGCTTTGTTTATTACCTAGAGAACTGAGTTGCTAGGACACGAAGAACAGCGGGAAGAAACAGCCCTGGTGCTGAGTGATGTTGCCGCCATCACCGTACCTCCCTCACACAGGTCTCTTCAGAGTCTGCCTCCTGCTGCACTTGTGTGTCAGAGCGTTACAAGTTTTTACCAGTGTTTTCTCAAGCGTCATTCGGAACCATTCCTTCTCCGCTTTCATGACTTCCAGTTGTCTTGGGCCTATGTTGGTCTGCTCCAGCTGCCTCTTTGGTCTTCCTTATATGTAGCAGTAATTAGCTTAATTGTATATAATATGTAATTGTTTTCATCTGGTTACCTACCATGTATGGATGGCAGAGGCATAGGGGAGGCCAGAGCATCCTGGTAGCTTCCTGAGTTTTGCCCAATTAGGGGAAGGAGTAGGGAGGCCAACCAAAGAGGGAAAGAGGTGGCACTTTGCATCCCTGGTGGGTATGCAGGGGGCAGAATGAAGTAGAGCAAGGCCTCAGGTAAAATAGCATGGCCTCAGCGGGGCTCAGCTCTGAATTTAAGGCAGAGTCAGCTATGTGTGTATGCTGCCTTTGTCTTGGCCCTTACTGACATCTGGGAGCTGCTAGTAAATCCTGCCTCTATTTAGAATAGGAGCAAAATCCCAGGGATTTAGTGGTTTTAGTACCAATGTTGGTCCCACCTTGCCCTTTACCTTTATATTCTCATTGTCAACCCCAATCCTTTATGTAGTATTTCTCTCCCTGAGGAAGCCTTCTTTCTTTGGCCTTTTTCATCAATCCTTTGGACTCTTTTGTACATGTACACTTTATGTAGCTTTGACTGTTTTGAGTGTTCTCTCATCATTAGCAGAAAGCTCAGTACCACTTGAGGGCCTTAAGTTCTGTCCTAGGTGCTATACAAAGAAAATTACAGAGAACTCATATCCAAAACTTCTGATTCAAGACCACAATGGTGTGAATGAGTAACTTTGTGTGTCAAGCTAAGTACAGTTTGGTGGGAAGGCAGAAATGACCCATCGAGGCATGGTGTAGCCCTGTTCAGACAATACTCCCCAGGGTGGTTGCTAGAGAGGAGGATTTCCTAAACAGTTTGTCAGATAGGAAGATAGCCCCATGTGTTCTATATAGGTATTTCTTTTGTTAATCTCACCTGAGGATATTTTTCCATTGATTTTTAGAGAGTGGAAGGGAGAGAGAGAGAGACAGAAACATTGATGTGAAAGAGACACATTGATTGGTTGCCTACAACCCAGGTAACATGTTCTTGACCAGAATCAAACTCGGGACCCTTCAGTCCCCAGGCTGATGCTCTTTCCACTGAGCCAAACCAGCTAGGGTTACCCCCGTGTGTTCTAAAAACCTGTGAAACTAGGACTCCCCCACCCCCCCACCCGCCGCACCAGTGAGCAGAATGAAGCCAGCATCTCAGATGACAGCCTCCGCCTTTGGATCAGAGCTCCCCTGTGGCTCTCTGGATGATGGTTGATGAACAGGGGGTGTATAACTTAAGGGTAAGATCCAGGGCTCTAGAATCCAACATACCATGTACTAGTGAGACTTTGGGCAAGAAACTTCCCTGAGCCTTCATTTCTCCATCTGTTATTAGTGAACAGATACCGAGCCCCCACTCTGTACCAAGCTCCGCCCTAGGTGCTGGGGAATACATTAATGAAGGAACAACAGAAAAATCCCACCTCATGGAATTAACATTCTAGTGGGGACAATCAAAATATATAAAATAGATACTACACAGTGATACATGTCTTGGAGAGAAACGAGGGCCTGAGGTGTTTGTGTGTGATGGTGGTGGTGGGACTGCAGTTTTAAATAGGGTGGTCATAAAAAGACATCGCCAAAGGTAATGAACAAAGAACTGAGATGTGAGTGGGCGACCTAAGCAGATGTTTAGGGAAGAGCATCCCAAGAAGGGAACAAGTGTAAAGGCCTTGATGTGTGCGGGAGCCTGATGTGTTTGAGAAATACCAGACGACCAGCGTGGCTGGGATGGAGTGTGCTGAGTAGAGATGAAGCAGATTTTACAGGGACTTACAGGCCATTGTAGGAACTCGGGGGGAGAGAGGAGAGGGTGGGCTAGTAAGCGGAGTTCTCTGCCTCTGTTGGCCAGAGGAGGAAAAGAATGCTCCAGCATTGGTGAGGACTTCCAGCCAAGTTTAAGGTGACATGGAGGAGGGCCCAGACTTCAGAAAATGCGCAGACCTCAATCTGGAGTCCTGTGTCTCCAGAAGGGTCTGGGGCTGCAGAAGGTTTTATTTGGGGCAACAAAAAGCCCAAATCAATAATGGAGCAAAGGGATTGGTTATTCCCTGGATTTCAAAACCTTCCATCTTTGCATGGGTCAGAGACACCTGCCACCCCCTTCCCTGCTCCTGCTACTTGGTGCAGCCTTGCTGGCCTACAAAGCTGAGGCTGGGAACCCCCAGGGGCACAGGTCACATCTCCCCTCATCATCTCTTTAGTGGAAATGGTGGGACTGTCACTTTTGCTCTTATCCAGGTCCAGGTCTTTTCTCAGGGGCCTGGGAGCCCCTGGGAAGTCAGAACCAAGTCTTCTAATATTTTGCTGCCAGATCCTGTCCCAGGGCCAGCACACAGCAGGTGTGGACACACAGGACCTCCTGTGTGCTAGGCCCTGGCAAGACACCAGGTACGCTCTGCTGCAATGATTTTCAGCCTTTTTCATCTCATGGCACACACAAACTTATTAATAAAATTCTGTGGCACATCAAAAATGTATTTTTGCCGATCTGACCAAAAATGGTATAATTTTGATTGATTTACAAAATAATAATAGTAATTACCTACTCTTTTTGCTCCAAAGTGACTTTTTAAAAAATCAAGGGACTTACTTGTATATGAGGATTTCTGGTACCAAGAATTAACCAGTCACATACAACCTTATTATGCGACATGACCAATAAGATGCAACTCTATTATATGACGTATATTTATGGTGTAAGACAGGGTCACACCAGGCAGCTGTTGCGTTGGCTGTTGTCATTTTTTAATTTGACAATCTAAAGGAAAGAGGTAGTGCCCCTGAACTAAGTAGCCAGGTATTGCATGTTTTAAAAATTCTTACAGCACACCAGTTGGAAATCGCTGCTCTACTGGGACCAATAACACCTGGCCGAGTCCTTGTCCCAGCTGTACAAAGGCTGGGAAGGGGTTTGCTCAAAATTACACAGCAGGTCACCGTCCTGACCATCCCCAGGTTCTTCCATCAGATGTCCCTCAAGCATGGGGTGCCATCCTAATGCTCACAATTCGGGATGTGCCCAGGTGAAGGAACCCCACCCTCCACCCTCCCTTTCTGGAGTGGAGCCCCTGCCCATCCTGCCCAGGCAGTGGAGGCCCAGCCCCAATCCATGAGAAATTAAGCCCAACAACTCACATCCTGGTTTGTACCCAAGTTGTGGGCTTTTATTTACAGAAAGGCCTGTATGGACCTAGGGGAGGGAGGATGGGAGACGGTGATGCCAGAAAGAAGGGGGGGGGGGTGTTTAAATACTCAGGAGGGAGGCAGGGAGGAATGAGTAGGGATGGCTTAAGGATGGCCACCTGTCGGCAGTCACCCAGGAAGCCCAGGGGGTAAAATGGGTCAGGAACCAGCGGAGACCTCAGTTCACCTGCCCCAGGGACAAGATGGCCAGCGGAGGATGGCGCAAATTAAGGAGATGCTTGTTTTGGTAACATCTGAATTATGCTCCAGGAAGGGAAGCCACCCCATCCTCTGTGGAGCTTGGACTCTCCAGGGACACTTGCCCTGTCCTTTGGCCTCACCTTTTCACTCCAATGCCCTCCCCTTCCCTCATGTTTTAGAATTTTCTTTTCCTCAAGACTCCTTCCTGGGTCCCAGAGAGAGGTCCTAGGAAGGCTCGTTTCCTGGGCTGAGGGATGGGTTGCATGTCTATCCAGAGGGGACCTATTCCTTCCCCCCGGGATGCCTGCTGGACTCTGTCCTGGCCTGCTGCTCATGGGCCCTTGATGGATCCAGGCTCTGTGAGGCGTGCAGAGGCGTAGGCTGAGGCTCCAAGGCAGGCTGCAGGCTCACAGAAACCTGGCAGCCCCACAGGGCCTGGCAGGCCAGGCCGGCCTGCCTCTCCCGGGGCTCCTGGGGACCCTCGGTCTCCATCTTTGCCATTGATTGCCTGGCCAGGCCGGCCAGGGAGTCCTGTGAATGGGAGAAGGTCAAGACATCAGGGCTTGCTCCTGTCTTGGCTCTAGAACTGGTCATTTTTCAGATAGGAATGAAGCCAAGGACACCACACGAAGAAGGGGCTCTGCCCCAGACACATAGGTTGAGAGAGTCACATGTGCCTGTCCATTAATCCCAGCCCCCAAACAGTGACTCTCAGGAGCACATGCCCTTCCTTTCCCTCCATGAAGTAGATTTTGGTACAACCCAGGAAGTCCTCAGCTGTCCAGTTCCCAGCCAGACCCCAGCTGGAGGCTCCTGGGTGCGCCAATGGGATGCAAGAGCTGGGGTTTGGCACCGAGTTGGCTGAGCATGAGTCCTCCCCAGAAGAGACCAGTTGTCTGTGTGTCACTAATCCCAGAGCTGAGGGATAGAACTGCTGCTGGGCAGGGCCAAGGTCTTACCTGGGATCCCTGGGGGCCCAGGCATCCCGGGGTGCCCACGTCCCATGTCCCCCCGGTCACCCTTCTCTCCTCGTTTTCCTGCAGAGAAAGATGGGGCCTGAGTTCAGAATTGGAAAATGTTTTTTCTACTTGGTTGCAATTTAACTTATATGTCGCACACAGCAATCATTCCTGTTTTGTCCTAGTTTACAATAGAGGATAGCCGGAAATGACTGCAGAGCTGGTTAAATACAGGAAGTCCGAAGGATGGAAGACTACAGGGCAGGGCAAAAGTGGGTCTACAGTTATTCATATGGAAAATAATACAATAGGCCTAACCAGTTTGGCTCAGTGGATAGAGCGTCGGCCTGTGGACTGAAGGGTCCCAGGTTCGATTCCCATCAAGGGCATGTACCCTGGTTGCGGGCACATCGCCAGTAGGGGGTGTGCAGGAGGCGGCTGATTGATGTTTCTCTCGAATCGATGTTTCTAACTCTCTATCCCTCTCCCTTCCTCTCTGTAAAAAATCAATAAAATATATTTTAAAAAATAATAAATAAAAGAGTTCAAATGGAAACCCAGCAGATGGGGGGGGAAATAATACAGTAAGTAATAATACAAGAATAAACTCTGTTTCATGTACTCACAACTGTAAACCTACTTTTGCCCCACCCTATATACAGCTGATAAAATTCATTAGAGGACAGCTGACATTTACTGTGTGCCAAGCCCTGAACTAAGAGTTCTGTGTATACCAACTCTGAATGCAATCCTCAGAGCAACACTGGGAGGTTCTTGCCGTTTTACAGATGCTAACTCTAAGGAATCTGTAAAATGGCAAGATTAACAGGTAACTTGTCCAAGAGCCACAACGAGCAAGTGGCAGAGTCTGGACACACACCCATCTGGGGATTCTTGAGCTTGTCTGCTTCACTCTTTTGTTAATCTGCCTCCCTACTTTTAGATACATGGAAAGATGTTTATCGGGTACCACTAAGTAAATTTAAAACAGAAAACAATCCCCCAAAAACCCAAATTATAAAGTCGTACATTTGCTTCTATCAATTTGCTACTGAGAAAGAAAAAAGAAAAGGCGGCTGAACAACGAGCCTGCCAAACTGGGCCCACCTCGGCCAAACCCCATCCCCAGGCCCCCCCACCACAGAGCAGCACTCACCCTTGGGCCCTGTGTTGCCAATCTGACCCACGGCTCCCACGATGCCAGGAACGCCCCGAGGGCCAGGATGCCCATGAGGTCCCTGTTTGCCTGGGTAACCAGGAGGCCCAGGGGGTCCTGGGAGACCCATCATGCCGGTTGCACCCAGGGCTTCCCTCTTGGCACTCACAGCCACCTCTGCCAGTTGCTCTGGAAGGAGGGAGGGAGATGAGAGGTCTGACATGGATGCTGCTCCGAAAAACAGGAAGGCAGAGCATCCCGACCCTGGCCGCTGGGTGTGCAGACAGGAAAGGGGGCGGTTAACTTCCCCCTCCCCCGGCCATTCTGCTGAGGTCCAGCCAGGGCAGGAAGGTCTCAAGCTCCCAGTCCTTGGAGGCGGAGCTGTTATGAGCGCCCAGGACTTCAACGCCGAGGCCAGGCCACTTGGAGGGGGGATGCCCTGACAGGGCCTGTGCGGAGGGGTTGCCGGCTCCTCCCATCACCTTGCAGCATCTTCAGCACCACGTCCACGATGTGCTGGTCGCTGGCATCTCGGCCCTGCACAGAGAAGGCCTTTCAGGAAGAAGCCCCGGCTGCTCCCTGCTCCCGGTTTCTCGCCAGCAGCATTTTCAGCATCTGATTGAACCCCTCCTGCTCCACCCACGCCATCCTCTGACTGGGGGCCTGGGACCAGCCTCGGGGACCTCAGCTTCCTCGAGCAGCCCCAGCCCTTGGGACTACGCAGCACTCCCGAGAGATTTCCCACCGGGACTCCCGGGGCCACTCACCGCCACGCCCTGTCTCCCGGGCAGCCCGGGCACGCCGCGGTTTCCAGCCAGTCCTCGGGGGCCGGGGAGTCCGGGGTAGCCTTGCACCCCGGGGGCGCCCGCATCCCCGCTGGGGCCGCGGTAGCCGGGTTCTCCGCGGACGCCTTGCTGCGGGGCAGGGTGGGTGCAGAGGCGGGTGAGAGGGCGCACGCGGAGAGGGAGGGGCGGGCCTGGGCGCGGAGGTCCGGGCAGCGCCGCGGGGTGCGGAGGGGGGAGGAGGGAGAGGAGGACTCACCTGTCCCTTGGGCCCCGGCTCGCCAGACTCGCCCTGCAGGCACAAGGAAGCCCTGTCACCAGGTCGGGGGCCCGGGGCACCCGCCGCTCGCCCGGCCGCCCCCGCGCAGCCCGCTCACCTTCTCGCCTTTCTCGCCGGGGAGGCCGGCCACTCCCGGGTCGCCCTGCAGATGGAGAAGCAGGAGTCTGAGCTGCGGCTGTGACGCCACCACCCCGCCCCCAACCCCCGGACGCGGGGGCGCCCCCCAAGCCCCAGAAGAGGGGGCGCTGGTACTCACCACTCCGCCGCGGGGCCCGGTCTTCCCTGGGGAGCCCTGGAGAAAGCGGGGCGTCGGGGCTCCGTGAGCTCTCCTCTCCAGGGAGGGCGGGTCCCTTCTCCCTGGCTCCCGGCCACTCCCTGCCTCTGCCACCCCCTCGCCCCCCAGGACCCCCTGGGGCCCAGAGGGAGTCATTTCCCCCGAAGGTTGGGAAGCTCGGGAGGAATGTGAGCTCTCGTCCTCCACCCCGTGTCTCCGGGCTCTTTCCCAGGGTTTTTCCAGGGCCATTTGGTACCTTGTCTCCCTTGATGCCGGGCAGGCCTTGCGGTCCTGGAATTCCCGAAGGCCCCTGCTCCCCCTTGGGGCCCTGAGACGAGAAGAAACCAGAAGGTCAAGCAAATGAGGTGCCCAGGCGTGCTCCCCACTGCCCATCCAAGCCGCCTCTCGCTTACCTGCCGTCCTTGAGGGCCTGGCTGCCCCACGGGCCCCCTCTCACCCTGGTCACCCTGGAAGAGAAACAAAGGGTCACACCCAGGCTATCCGCACTGGCAGCCTCGCCCTGCGGACTCCAGGCCAGACCCTGCATGGCCAGGGTGCCCTCCATTTCTACTGTCACCAGCATGGACGTCCTTGGCCCCACTTCACAGACCAACATACTGAGGCCCAGCCGGGAAGCCTCACTCAGGGTGGACAGGACTGCGCATGTGCCGGGCCATTTCGAGGACCCAGATCCTGCATCCAGCAGAGCCAGCAGCTGCAAAGGCCCCCGGGAGGGGCGCTGTGCCAGGCACTTACCTTCTGCCCCATGATGCCCTGGGGACCGATTTCTCCTCGAGGCCCGGGCTCTCCCTGGGGGACAGAGAAATTGGAGTTAAGCAGGCCTGGTGGTCCCTCCCCTTCACACCTGGCTAAAGCCCATTCCTGAGTCACAGCTAATTCGCTTCTTCAGGGAAGCTTTTCCTACGCCCTGTTCTTCTCTTCTGGTCTCTGTACTTTTCCTTCATAGGACTCAACACAATTGTAGTTAGTTATCATGTGTTCATTTATTTAATGTCCGTCTCTTCTGCTAACAAACCGTAAGCTCCGTGTGAATAGGAGACTGTGTATCTCAGCATTTAGCACAGTTGCAGGTATTTGGTGAATGCTTATGGAATGAGTGAGTGAATGAATGAATGAATGATTCTGAGCCCTTTATCCCTACTGCCTGGTACAGAGAGGAGAGGGAGCTTCCCTAGGATAGTGGGGCAGTGGCAGGGCCCTGGCTGGCACCCAGGGCACCTCCATGTCAAGGGTTCACTCCATAGTCTCACCCAGACCCCATAAGCTGAGTGCAGGGTCTTCAGGCCTGGGGATGGGGGACAAAGCAAGAGCCCTTGTGTCAAAGGAGAGGGCACTTACCTCCTTCCCAGGGGGACCAGAGACTCCAGGGAGGCCCTGCTGGCCTGGCTCACCCTGCAGAAAAACACAGTTTAAGGTCGGTCTGGTTGGCCCAGTCGGGCCCTTGGTCTGGGAGAAGCCCAATGAACCCTAAACAGACTCTGGAACCCAATAAGCTGTGGAAGGGAGAGGGTGTTCTTGGTCAGATCCTCTGGACTCCACTGATTTCCCTGTTTGTCTCTCCCTTGGATTCAGAGCCATGCCATCTGTCTCCGCTGAGCTGAGCTGAGGTGTGGGGAGTGGCGGGAGGTGGCAGGAGGGAAGTGCTTAGGCCCAAGGGATTTGTGTACAGGCTGAATTGCTGAGCCTGGGGTGAGGCCTGAGCCTTGCAGTCTTTAGGACAAGCCCTGGTCCCTTGCCCCTAGGCTCCCTCCCTCAGATGAAGCCATTCTGCTGCCAGCTTGGGGCCACTTCACCTTGTCTCCTGGGCCTCCTTTGGTCCCGGGCTGGCCTGGCACACCCTGTAGAAAAAAGTGACATCAGAGCCCAGCTGGTGTGGCTTAGTGGTTGAGCATCGACCCAGGAACCAAGACGTTGCCAGTTCGATTTGGGCACATGCCTGGGTTTCAGGCTCAATCCCCAGGATGGGGCGTGCAGGAGGCAGCCAATCAATGATTCTCTTTCATCATTGATGTTTCTATCTCTCCCTCTCTCTTCCTCTTTCTGAAATTTATATATATTTTTTAAAGAAAAGCCAAGGCAGTGTTGAGAAGTGGTTGAAGAGGCAGGAAATGGTCCGATTATGTGGTCCTTGAAGGCTGAGATGAGCTGGGAGGACAAGGATGGTAGCTCTCTGTTCCTGTTTCCCTGCCACTTAGTGTACCTTGGTACTCAACAAGTACTTCTTGACTGAGCATGGAATGACCTTCCAGAGGCACTGAGGGCCATGGAAGGTGCTGCATCAGGGAAGGGTCAGATTCCACTTAGCCATGATGGAGGATTGGAATAGCCACAGAGAAGGCTGGAGCCATCGCCCAAATGATGAGGCCTAAGCCAGGCCAGAGGCCACAGGGTGGTGATGAGGTCCAGGCTGGGTGCGGACAAGGACTAGAGCAAGAGCCCGGGCATGTAGATTTGCCACCATGGGAGGTGGGCAACAGAGCGCTTGGTCTTTCTGAGGAGGAGAAACAGCTTGCAGTGGGCGGCCGCCATGGCTCCATCATACTCACCGCTGGGCCCTGGTGGCCTGGGTTTCCTGGCCGCCCCGCCAGTCCTGCACTGCCCTGGGAGAGAGACAGCCAGAGGCACAAATGAGAGCTACCCCCAGAGGGCCCATGGCTTCCACCAGAATGTAGGCAGGGAAACTGAGGCCCAGGGGCAACAAGGGATGTGTCGATGACACACCTGAGAGTCCCAGGCTCATAGGCCTCCAAGATCCCAGTGATGGGACTCAGGCCTGAGCTGGGAGCCTAAGCTGGGAGGGGCCCTGACCCTTGCCCCAATCCCACCAGCAGTCCCCACTCCTACCTTCATGCCAGGTGTGCCTGGGGTCCCGTCCTTGCCGTCGATGCCTGGGGGACCCTGCTCAGGGGAGAGTTGAAGGTAGACTCACAATGGGGAGATGCCTGGGGTCAGGCCTCCCACCCATGTCGCTCTGTGACAGCTGCAGTGTGCAGGGAGGAAGTGATCTGGTCATCGCGTGAAGCCCCATCAGTCAACTGGGGGAAGGGAATGGACGTGGGAATGGGACTTCGGGGATGGACCACACTCCCTCCCTGTATGGGTGACAAGTGTCCTAGATTGCTGCAAGCTTCCCATGATCTCTCCTACAGCATTTACAGCTGAAAACACTAAGGCACAGAAAGGGGGCGTTTCCCGAGGTGGCAGAGCCAGTGGGCCAGCAACAGAGTTCAGTCTAGAGTCCCTGGGGGCTTGGGCAGAGCTGACTGGAACCTGCCCTCTGTCTGGGTGACCACTTACAGCTGCTCCCTTTGGGCCTGTTATTCCCTGGGGTCCTCGAACACCTTGGCTTCCCTGCAAAGTAGACAGAGATGAGGTCACCTTTAGGGCACTGAAGTCCTACCTGGTGGTTCCCAGAGGGGAACAGCTGAGAACAGTGGCCTCTGCATCCCAGGGTCCCTGAGGCACAGGCCACGCTGGGCAGGGGCTGGAGCAGAAGGGCCTGGGAGTGCCCTTTCGGCTCTGGACCCAGCAGGAGGGAGTGGAGGGCAATCCAAGCAGAAGGGGCTGGGCTGGGGTTGGGAAGGAGCCAGCACTCGCTGAGGCCCAGCGGGACTCTGGGCTCCACTGTGCACCACGGCAACCAAATGCGACGTGTGGGCTTTGTTTGGGTCTTAATTTGAACAAGAATCCTGAAGAGACATTTTTGACGTAATTGGGAAAAATTGAACACAGGCTGGTTATTTGATGATGTTTAGGAATATTTGATAATTTTTTTGGCATGGTAATGATACCGTGATTTTGTGAGAAAAAGTGCTTATTTTTAAGAGATATACACAGAAGTACTAGTATTTAGGGGTGAAATGACATGATGTTAAGGACTTGCTTGAAAATATCAGCGTGAAACAATAACAAAGTGAAGGAAGGAAGGATGACGCGAATTTGGCAAAATGTTAATTTGGGGAGATAGGTTATATGGGGGTTCACTATATCATTCTCTACTTTTGTGTATCTTTCAAAACTTGCATAATAAAAACTAAAAAAGAACAGTTAGTTTTACTCTCTTCAATTTTTCTGTAAACTCAAAACTGCTAAGAGAAATAAAGTCTATTAATTAAAAATAAATAAAGAGTTAAGTGAACTGGCATCTGGACCAAATCCCATTAGCCCCATGGCTGATTTGCTGGAATTTAATTGTCTGGCCCCTGTGACCATAGGACTGAATCTCCTGGCTTCTCCCAAAATCTGAATTTGATCAGGAACGGGCTGGGCTTCAAGGAGTGGGGGCTGGCAGAGCTGACTGGGCTCTGGGCACAAACTCTCCTTCCCATACCAGACACTCCCATGCAGACACCAAGAGTCTCACACACACACACACACACACACACACACACACACACCCCCAGCCTTAGGTGGAGCTGAGCCCTGCCCAGTGCTCCCAGGAGCCCTAACTGGACCAGAGGAGTGGAGGACTCACCACGTCGCCTTTCTCGCCAGCTCGGCCTGGTGGCCCTCGAGGACCTTCCTCACCCTGGCAAGAAGGACAAACGGGAATCCGAGTTAACGGGCTCAGCTGGAGCAGCACCCCCTGTGTCCCCAGGAACTCCAGCCTGGAGATGTGCGGGGAGGTGAGCAGGAGCAGACTTACCGGAGACCCAGCGGTGCCAACAGAGCCCACCATGCCTTTGTACCCACGAGGACCCTGGGCAGAGGAAGGAGGTGCGGGTCAGTCCTAGACCCCAGAGGCCAGAGGGCTGTCGGGGCAGCTCTTGCAGGATACCCGCAGACTCACTCACCGTCTCTCCTTTGGGCCCCGCCATGCCTGGGTAGCCCCTGGCACCCTGGGGACCCTGTCAGGAGAGAAGAATGACAGTGATGGCAGTTGCAAGGCCCGCTTCATGGTTCCTTCTCTGACCCCCAGTCCAGACTTCACAATGCTCCTCTGTGTCCCTGTCTCATAGGAGGGACTGAGGCTCAGAGCCAGGGACACATGCACCAGAATCACTCAAAGAGACAGTGGCACAACCTGGGCCTCAGCCCAGCCCGTGACCGCTTTGGTTCCGTCCCCCAACTTCCGACAGTCAGCTTTAGCCTCCCTCTCCCATGGGCACAGGCGTCTCTTCTACAGGTTAGAGGCTGGAGCAGGGGCATGACCCCACTAAGGTCTCCTAGGACAAGGGGAGGAGGCCCAGGGGAAGTGTTCCTTACCGGTGGTCCAGGGATGCCTTGCTCTCCGGAAGCACCTACATCTCCTTTGGGACCCTAAGGGGCAGGATTGAATGATCAGACAGGTGGGCAGGTGGAGAGACACGTATTCAGGCAACCAAAGATAGCATCCCTTCCCAATCCCACACGACAGGTGGGGAAATGGAGGCCCAGCAAGAAGGGACTTGTCCAGGGACACACTGACCTAGAACATGGGCCTCCTGCTTCCCAGCTCAAGACTCTGTCCCCAGAGACCACAGAGGAAGGAAAAGGGGCGGGGAGGAGGACGAAGTGGGGTCCTCTCCACAAGTCTCTCCCATGGCTCTCTGCCCTCACTTACCGGCTTCCCAAGGCGGCCGGGATCTCCCAGAACCCCGCGTTTCCCAGGATGCCCCTAAAGGAAAAGAGGCAGCTCAGTGTGAGGTCCCCACCTGACCACTGGCTCTGCCCTCCCCAGACCAAGGCCAGGAGCTCACCTTCACTCCCTGCAGCCCCTGGGGGCCTTTCACACCCGCTGGACAGTTGGTTGGACACTGGAAAGAAAATCCCGCAGGGCTCTGTGGTCACAGGCCTGCCTCAGGCCAGCTAGGCAGTACTTCCCCATCTTGCCAACTCCCAAACCCTCCTCCCACCCCATCTGGCTGAGCCACTCTGTAAAGCCCCTCCCCAAATCCCACTGTCCTGTCTCCAGACCCATCCTATCTCCACCACTGCCCATCTCCAGGTGACCAGCCCCAAAACGCATTAGCCTTGCCCCACGACCACCTCTCACCAGGAAATCCGCGCTGCCTTCCAGGCCCTGGATGGTTCCGGGGCGGCCCTGAGAGGAGATGTGTGACCATGAAATCTGACTCCAAACCTACCCCATCCCAGGCATGCTTCAAGTACCCTTCTCCCTCCTCGGCTACACACTGCCATGTGGGAGGTCTGAGGACACTTACCGGTTTCCCAGGGGGTCCCGGGGGCCCTGATGGTCCCTCTGGTCCAGAATCCCCCTGGAAGCAATAGAGGCCCAAATCATACCCCTGTGCAGCCTCCCCTCCAGTCACCTCCTGCAATCTGGGCTCTTGGGGAGATCAAGGCCTGACTGGTAAGGGATGGCCCCAGCCCTTGGTCTCCCTGAAAGGCCTACCACAGGGTGGGCTCAGCAGGAGGGGTTTCTGCCCCAGACCTGGAGGAGCTCCCTGGTGGCCAGAAGCAGGCCCAGGAACTTCTGGAGAAACACCTAGCTTGCACGCTTGGAGGCAGAGCGCAGGGGGCAGAGTCAGTAGAGGGGTGGCTGGGGCTCACCTTGGGGCCGGTGATTCCAATCTCACCAGGGAGGCCAACAGGTCCAGGTGGGCCCTAGGAACAGAGACATCACTGGCCAGGATGCCTCAGAGGGTTAGCCCATCCCAGGGGCAAAGGTAAGGACAGGTGCCAGAGACTGACAAGGGAGGGCTTTAAGGACCAGAGAATCCCACAGCCAGTGGATAGGCCGGGAGTGGGCTGGCTCAGAGTTCTCTGGCAAGTCTGCCCATTCCTGACATGAGAGCATGCTGGCCCCTGCCCATGATGGCCAGTTCCCTAGAAGCCCTTCTGTATCATCATTCCCTCGGAGTCTCAGGGACCCTGCCCCTCCCCTGAGGACTTACAGGAGGTCCAGCGAAGCCAGGGCCCTAGAACAGAAGGAAAGGAGATTGGGTTGATGGCCCCTTCTTCAAATCTCTCCCCCGCCCCCAGTCCGCACAGGGTCATCAAAGCCTCTGCAGGTTATACTCACCGGCAGGCCAGGCGGACCTGGGAGCCCGGGCTGGCCCTGCAAGAGCAATGGGAGAGGCTCAGAGGCTGGGGTCTCCTGGGTCCCTGCCCCTCTCTACTGCAGCCCTTCCCAAACTCTGGCTCTCCATTGCCCATGCTGAGTCCCCAGCAGGCCCTTACCTTGACTCCAGGGATGCCAACAGGGCCAGGTTCCCCCTTGGCTCCAGTGAGACCCTGAAGAAAGAAGGTAGATCAGTGAGGGGCAGGGCGGGTACAGAGGTCTCTCTTGGGTGGGCCCAGACTGCATTTCACCCAACTCCTTAAAGGCCTAGGAGCCTCAACACCTCACTTTTCTTTCCTCGGTTCCCACAGTAACCCTAGGAGGTGGGCAGGCAGAAGGGTTATCTTTCTTTTGAAAGATGAGAAACCAAATCTCAAAGATCCATTAGCCTGGGCCTCCTGCCTCCCAATTTAGGATCTAGAAGACTTAGATGAAAATCTGGAATGGTCATTGTCTTTTTTAAAAATATATATTTTTATTGATTTCAGAGAGAAATCAATAAGGGAGAGATGAGAGAGAATTATTGATCAGCTGCCTCCTGCACGCCTCACACTGGGGATCGAGTCTGCAACCCAGGCGTGTGCCCTGACTGGGAATCGAACCATGATCTCCTGGTTCATAGGTTGACACTCAACCACTGAGCCATGCTGGCCGGGCTGGAATGGTCATGTTCTTGATGTCTGCCCTTGGCAATTTTTCCTGAGCCTTAATTTTTCATCTGCAAAATGGATTAATAATCCTGCTTACCTCTGAAGGTGGGTGTGTGAGAATTGATGTGGAAGGCCATGTGCTTTGTAACCTTTGCAAGGTGTTGGTGAGCTGGAGGAGCCCCGGTGGCTGGGCACAGCTCTGATGGGGGCCTCCTGAGCCAGCAAGGCCAACCAACTCACGGGGGGCCTCTTCCCCCTCCCATCTTTCAGTGACTGACCCAAGTGTATTCCCCAACCAGATGAATATCCCAGTGGCCCTGGCCGTGTCCCGGAGCCAGTGACCTTGGGGCCCCTGGGAACTCTGTGGGATCAGCCACATAATGCTCCTCTCCTGAGCTGCACTGGGGCTTCGAGGGGGTCGGGTGGGGAAGGGAAGAGAGGAGGAGCGGACGGGTGTGCAGGACAGCTCTGCGCAGAGTATTCAGCCTGACACTTGGAAGCCAGAAATGTGACACTGAATCCTGGCTGCTGCAGACAACGGAGCCCCTCTCCATCTGCCCATGAGTCAGTGCTCCTGGGCTGGGGGTGCGGTTCCAGTGAGGTCACACGTCACATGGAGGGGACGGGCTCATAGCTGTAGAGTCTCATCGTGCTGCTCCATCTGAACACAACGTCAGGGAAGACGCCAGAACCAGGCCACTCACGTCAATCCCCGGCTTCCCATCCGGCCCGTCGGGCCCCGCTTTGCCAGGCTCTCCCTTAGGTCCCTTGAAAACAGAGGTGAAGCAAATACTAGCAAGAGGAGGGCAAGAACCACAAGAGTCAGAGATCAAAGGAGAAAAGGCACTCACCGGAGGGCCAGCTTTCCCAGGGGGCCCCTTGTCACCCTGCAAGAGACAAGTTGGTGAGGCAGCAGGCTCTGGCTCATGCTGCCCAGTGGGCACACACAGACCCCGGCTGCTGGGTCCCCCTGCCTTTCTCCTCACCCTCTCCTCCTGTCCTGGATCCCCTCAGCCTTGCACTTTTTAGGAAAATAGCTCCATCTCTCTCTCTCTCTCTCTCTCTCTCTCTCTCTCTCTCTCTCTCTCTCAATAAATAAATAAATAAAAAATCATAGGTTGATTGAGACCATCCCCAGACAGGCAGGAGAAGGTGATATCAACATGGCTGTAGACACGCCAATGCTGGCGAGGTGCTGGTTATGAGACTTGCAAATGGAGTCGTGGGCTCCAAATTACCTTGGAGAGCTGGTTGGTGCCTCTTGGATTTGGGCAAGTGTGGGAAGAAACTTTCAGAAAAACGCGAAGGGGAGGTGAGTGAAGTAAAGAGACGGGTGGGGTACGGGGGCCTCTGAAGGGGCAGATTCAAACTTCCCAAGGCAGGAAGGAACTCCTTTCCCTGGTGACAAAGGACCCTTGGTGGAGGACAGGCAGGGCCTGGAGTCAGACTCAGCCCCAGAGCGGCCTCCAGGCATCTCAGCCGGCAGCAGCCAGAGAACTGGCAGGGACCCAGCTCCCTGTGTTTGGGGGTGGGGGCACCAGGCTGAATAGACGTCTGTCCAGATGGGTAAACATGGAGCTAACCTCCTGCCGGAGCCTGCTGAATGAGGGCTTTAACCCTCACCATGCTGGGGAGATCAGGAAGCAAGCCCAGCTGGTTCTAAATCGGGGAAGAAATGCAAAAGGAAGAGACAGGAGTCTGGCCCCAGCTGGTCAGCGGTCTGGCCATAGCTTCTAAACTATCCCGAAGAAGCACGCAGAGTGCCAGTGGGCAGGGCCCAAGGGTTAAGGCGTCTCCCACCTTCAAAAGGAGGGAAAGGCGGGGAAGGGGATAAGGAATCTCTGTGAGCTGTGGTGGGTGGACAGCACTGCAGCTCCTTGTCTGTGGGCAGCTATAACGGGCTCTGCATCTCCCTGCTGGGTTGAGGTTTTTGCAGGACAAACAGGTTCCTTGTGGGGCGGGCGGTGCCGCCTACTGGCAACAGAGGGCACTGCATCTCCAGGAACCCCTCCACCCGCGCCCCGCTCCCCGCGCTCACAATGTCTCCCTTTGTCCGCAGCCTCCCTCCCTCCGCTTCGGTCCCAGTTTTAGAGACTCACGTCGATGCCGTCCGATCCTGGCATTCCCGGCGGCCCCGGGGGGCCCGGGGGACCTCGCTCTCCTGGCGGACCTCTCTGAAAACACACACAGGGTGTGCGAGCTCAGACAGCGCAGGAAGCAGGGCATCCCAGGGCTGCACCTCCCCCAGGAAAGAATTCCGCGGGAGCAGCCAGCTCCCGTGCGCTGAGAGCCTGGGGTGCGCCAGGCACCGTGTCCCGTTGCATGCGTATCTTAGAGGATGCTCGGGCAGTGGGGCGGATACTAGTGTGCAGTTCTGCAAACAGGCTCAGAGGTTAAGAAGAACCACAGGGAGTAAGAGGTGGCGCCAGGATTCCGCTGTGGCACGTCGTCCTTGCGAGGTCTGGTGAGGACAGACGGCAATGCTGGTGGCTCAGATAAGGCACAGACAGTACAATGAAGGGTTGTGGTATTATTATTATTTTTATTTGACCAACAGGAATGGATGCTGAGTAGGCGCCCTCTCCCTTTCCCCTGGCGAGGGTAAAACCCGAGTGGAAAGTAGGAGAGGCTGGGGGCGGGGGGAGGAGAGAACAAGCCCCCCCCCCCACACTCCAGCTCCCCTCCACCAACACCGCCCCTCCAACCTCCTGGGGTGGCCGTCTGGTGGGGCCAGCCCCGACCCAGGCCGGGCTCCGCGCTGCCAGGTGCCCGCCCGCGCCTTCCCGACGCTGGAGCCCCGCAGGGGAGCTTCGAGCCACACCGGGCACCAGTGGGCGTCCCTTTAGACCCCGGGCCCCCAGATGCCCTCGGAAGTCGCGGGGCGGGCGAGAGCAGCGTCTGGCTGGAGCCGGCGCCCCCTGGGAAGCGGCGGGGGCTGCGGCTCCCGAGCCCCGTGAATGGGCACCATTGTCTCCCCGCCACCTGGGCTCGCCGGGCTGCCAGGACCCAGCGCCAGCTCCTGCTGCACGCTGCTGTCCCCGACAGGGCTGAGCATCTCGGGACAGGGTCCCTCCGGCTCCCCGGCTCATGCACCCCCGTTCACCGTGCGGGATGCACCCTGTGCACTCACCTACCGAGGGGACTGGCGTCTGGGGACGGCCGGGACGGGCTGGGGAGTGTCGCGAGAGGGGGGAGGGAGGCCCTGGACGTCGCACCCCAGACCCCGCACCCCGGACCTGCGCCGGGTGGCCGTGGGACTTACGATCTGCGCTAGGGCGAGCCCGAGCACCTGGAGCAGGACGAGGAGGCTGCGGGGGGCGGCCGCGGCGGCCATGGCGGCGGCGGGCGGAGGAGGAAAGGGCCGGGTCCACGCCGCACCGACGGCTGAGGCTCCGCGCGGCGCTGGCGGCTCTGGGACGCAGCGGGCCCGGCCCCCTGAATATGCGGCGGGGCGGGGCGGGGGCCTGCGGTCTGTCACCTGAGAGGACCGGGGGAGGGACGCCCAGGCCCTCCGCCCCGCTCCGCCCCGCTCCGTCCAGCCGCCAGCGCCCACCCTCCGTCCCGCCCGGCCTTCCCTCCCGCAGCCCGACTCTGTAATCCGAGGAGCGGCGCAGTGCGTGGTCCTCTTTCTGGACGAGGAGGCAGAGGGCGGTCCAGGCGCCCCTCCAGCCTGACCTCCAGGGCCCAGCACCTTCCCGCTGACCCGCCGCGCCCACGCCCATCACTGGCCCACGTCCTCAGCCGCTGCTGCCGGAGAGCCCGGGCCAGTCCCTCTCCAGGCGGAGGGGCCTCAGGCCTCTCAGCCGGTCTGCCCAGCCCCCTTACACACACAAGCAGGCCTCTTCCACATGAAAATGTCCCGAAGCGAAGCCTTCCTGGGTCAGCCAGCCTGTGAGCACCCCATCTGCCTCCTCCCCCTTGCTCGCTGCTAACTCTTTATTGGAGTTGTCTGCCACCCACCCCCAACTTCCCCCTCTCCCTCTCCCCTCCCTGCTTCTGCCTCCGCTGGGAGTCCAGCCTTTGGCCATTCTGTCCTGAAGTCTTCCCTGTCCAGGCTTCCACACCCGGCCCCTCTTCTATTGCCTTCTCTCCCCTCCAGCTCCCTTAAGCACCTGCGTCTCTAGGATTGGGCCTTCTCCCTCACTAGGCTGATCTCCCTCCTGTTCATGGAAACAGCCACCACCTCCTATACCAGTTTCCAAAACCTACCTGTCCAGCATGGCCTCTCTCCAGAGTCCATTCCCTTCCCCTCCCCTCCCCTCCCCTCCCCTCCCCTTCCCTTCCCTTCCCTTCCCTTTCATTCACTTACGCAATGTTGGCAAAGTGCTCGGGAATCCTACTCTGTTACTAACTGTAAGTATAACCACAAGCACTTAAAACTATTGGAAGTCTCAGTTTCCTCATCTGTAAAAGGGAATAATGGAGCATTGGTAAAGATTAGATGAGATTCTGCATGTGGAATGCTTAACCTAGCACCAGCACCTAGTAGGTGCTTGTTATTTTAGCTGTCACTGTGATTTGCTGAGGACCCTCTGTTTACCAGGCTTGCATCCCGTGTGGGGAAGATGACCACAAGCAGATCGGCCAAAACAATCCAGGAGAATATCCTCTAGAACCTAGGAAAGTCCAATGCCGGGGGCATGTTGGCAAAGGTCCCTGGGTTTTGAGGGTGTTGCTGGAGCTGAGCTCAGGAAAATGGGCTGGAGAGAATTTCATTGATCTGAGTTAGTAGGAAGTAAGATGATGGGAGGAGGTGGGAGAGGGATGATGGGCATTGCTTGGGATGGATGGGGTAATATGTGTAAAGGATTTCTAAGAACTAGGATGTCCAAAATTGTTGGGGTTTTTTATTTTTTTTATTTTTATTTTTATTTTTATTGATTTCAGAGAGGAAGGGAGGGGGAGAGAGAGATAGAAACATCAATGATGAGAGGGAATCATTGGTCGGCTGTCTCCTGCACGCCCCCTAGTGGGGATGAACCCACAACTTCAGGAATCAAATCTGGGACCCATCAGTCCACAGGCGGAAGCTCTATCCAGTGAGCCAAACCAGCTAGGGCTGTTGGTTTCGTGTTATTCATTTCTTCATCTCTTTGTGGGCTAAACACACAAAGGCCTTGTGTGAGTAAGTTTCCTTTTTTGTGTGTGGGTGTTACAGAAAACCGGAGAAGAACCAAGCAACGCTTAGAGAGATGGAGTTACATTTATTATTATTACGCGTGGGCCCAGAGGAAAATGTCTCTCAAATTCTGGGCCAAATCACACAGGAAATTTCCTGTATTTATACCATTTTACCCTCTTTGTCTCCCAAATATGGGTTTTCCCGGTCCCCTTTGCAAGTTCTTAAAGAGCCCCTATGTGCTGGGGCTTTTAGACCTCAACCAAAGACTTGGCCTGGTACCAGCACTGATAACTTCGTCTGGGGAAGGTTTAATGGCCTCTCTGAAATGGGAGTAGTCTTATTTTCCTTATTATTTAAGCCAGCAAGCATTTACAGAAGCCAACTAGTAGGGTTAAAATTTCAAACAGCAGCTTATATAGAAGATGGATGCTTCATGGGAACTATGGAACGGGGATGAGCTTCACATCTGGACAACACACATTAGTATATCAGTTGTCTATTGCAGCCCAGCAAGTCACTTAAGAATGTAGTGGCTTAAAATGACAATGTCTTGGATCAGGAATTCAGGAATGGCTCTGCTGATTCTTTCTAACTCAGGGATCTGTTAGGAGGGTGCAGGCAGAGGCGGCTGGGGTTGGCATCATAGAAGACTTCTTCACCCACATGCCTGGTGCCTGTACGGGAAGCCTCCACTAGGTGGGGCTGGAACAGCTGGAATTTCCTGGGCAGCTCCCGGCCTCTCCTTTGGGTCTTTGTGGGCTTTCCAGGGAGTCTCATCAGCATGGTAGCTGAACTTCTCACATAGCAGATCAGAGACAGGGAGAACACCAGACAGAAACAGAAGTGCCTCTTAGGGCCTAGTCTCCGAAGTCACACAGCATCAGTTGTCACCACTTTCTTTTGGTCCAGGCAATTACAGAAGTCTGCCTAGGCTCAAAGGGAGGGAACAGAGAGCTCACCTCTTGATGGACAAGCATCAATATGACGTTTCAAGAAGAGCTTGGAGGATGGGACATATATTGGTGCAGCTCTCTTTGGAAAATACAGCCTATCCCACTTGGGCCTATACCCTGAATTGATTCAGTGGAAGTTGAAGCTCAAAGCCAAAGTTGACTAAGAGAAATGTTAGGGAAAGCTTTGGGACCACAAGAAGTAGACTACAGGTTCCAGTCAATTGCATACAGCTCTTAGGGAGCAGGGAGACCTGAATAAATAGTCATCTATCCACATTCCGGGATAGGAAGACTCAATGTTGCAAAAATGTGAACTTAATCTATAAATTCCATGCGATCCCAATCAAAATCAATGCAGTTTTCATGAAACTTGACAAGCTGATTCTAAAGAGAATCTAGGAGAAAAACAGCATGAAAATAGACAACAAATGTTGGAGAAGAAGAAAAAAGAGCCCTAGCAGTTTGGCTCAGTGGATAGAGCATTGGTCTGTGGACTGAAGGGTCTCCGGTTCAGTTCAGTTCCCTGACCCTGGTTGGGGTTGGTGCAGGAGGCAACCAATCGATGTGTCTCTCTCACATCAATGTTTCCCTCTGTCCCTCCCTCTCCCCTCCACTCTCTCTAAAAATAAATGGAAAAATATCCTCAGGTGAGGATTAACAAACAAACAAACAAACAAAAAACAAAAAAGAGAGAGGGAGAGAAAGGTCTTTCCCTTTGAGAGATCAAAACATGGTACAAAACCCCCACCCCACCCCCCAAAAAAAACACACAACAACATAGTACAAAACGAATTATTCAAATAGGTGTTTTACCAGCTCAGGAACAGATTTTAAAAAAAGAGAGACAGATAAGAAACACACACATTTTTCAGATATATTTAATCTATGATAAAAGTCTATATATTTCATTTATGATAAAGGTTAAATTTAAGGTAAATGAGGAAGGGATAGACCAGTTAATGAATGTTGAGGCACCTGTGTATATATTCAGAAAAATTAAAGTTAGATTTCTACATCAGCGTACAAAACATGTGTCTCTGGACAAATGCATTATGGACCCAAATGTAAAAATAACAAACTGCAAAAATCTAAAAGAAAATTTTTAAAAATAATTTTGTGGTAAAGAAAACTTACCTGAGCAATACACAAAACCATGAAAAAATGTTTAAACTTGACTTCATAATACTTTGTTTAATCCTCACCCGAGGACATTTTTCCATTGATTTTTAGAGAGAGTGGAAGAGAGGAGGAGAATCAGAGAGACAGACACATCAGTGTGAGAGACACACACATTGTGTGCTTCCTGCATGCCCCCTACTGGGCATTGAGCCCGAAACCCATGCATGTGCTCCAACCAGGAATCTAACCATTACCTTCTGGTTCATGGGTCTACACTCAACCTCTGAGCTACACCGGCCGGGCTCTGCTCTTGTCTTTCCACACAACATGCTAATTCCTCTGCAAGAACAAGTCTGAAAATGTGGGCCCACGAAGCCAGGTCCTGGACCAGAGAGAAGACTGACACCACACCCTACACATCCTACCTCTCCTGAAGAATGCGCAGAGCCTGGGAGCATCCTCCCTTCAGCCTAGAACAAAAACGTAGCGGGGGAGAGAAAAGTCCCTTCTATTTCCTTCTCATTCAAGTTAATTCAAAACTTATTTTCTTTCTTCCAATAAAAGTTTAAATCTTAGTCATAGAGATATTTCATGTTTAAGCTGAGACTGAGTCTGCCTGATTCATCGCTGTGCTCCCAAACTGCAGATGTCCACAGATTTCTGCGTGACCAAGTGACAAGTCACTGAATCAACCCCTAACATGCATGGGATCTGCAGGCTGACACTTCCCTCAGCCTCCTCCCTACCACGCCCTCTCTCTCACGGGCAGGTTCGCAGGGTCTAGTTCAGAGGGATAGACTCAGAGCTCTTACAGCTATGTGTCAGGCTTGTAGTGTGAGGAAATCTTTAAACAACATCATCATAAAAAGAGTAGCCAGGAGCTATTGTTATTAACAATAACATTTATCATCCCTATATGTATATCATTAAATTATATTTATAATAATACTTATTGAGCACTTGCAACATAACAGACATTGTAGTTGTGTGTTGCGTGCATTTTGTCAAGTCCTCACAGCAGGTTGATGTGATGCTGGTCGTGTGATTATTTCCTCCAAGCCTGAGGCTTAGGGAATAAAACAGTTTTCATTCCTGTTCTTCCTGTATTGATTACATATTTCCACTGTTTCTGACTCATGGTAGTACCAGTAATGTGCATTTCCTTCCTTTTCCACTAAGACCACACATAATATTGTGCAGTTTGGGCTCTGCACAAAAATGGATAGCAGAGCCGGCCACCAGCTTGCCACAGCTGTTGTTTTGCTGGTCCTATTCCGTTTAGAGAATTCTTAGAATCTTGTTTGACTTGAGTGCTGGGCCACTCCAGTATACAATCCTCAGACCTCTATTCTCTAACCTTCCAATCTGCTAATTCTTTCTCCCTAACTCTGATAGGAAGGAGGGGTGGACGTGAGGGCAAGTAGAAAAGGCAGCCCACCTGTTTTCTTCGTTTTCCCACCAAGTCCTCTGTTCCTGGTCAGCAGTAAATCAGGCTTTCTGGGGCTCTGGCGCCGCCTAGTGGTCATCGTCTGCAGCACACGATGAGAACAAATTGAATAAAAGCCCCTTTCTCATGGAACTCCTCCGGAGATGAAATGGGGAGAAAAGACCAAAAGCTCTGTGGGAACTCAACGAGGGAGATATCATGGCTTCTGGGGAATTGGAACTTATAATTTCAGCCATTATATTCAGCTACACTTGGACCCTGATTCTACCACATACTAGTTGTGTGACCCTGGGCAAGTCACTTCATCTCTTTGAGCATGCCTCTTGATGTCCATGAAGTGCCCAGCAAGCTTTGAACATTTTAGGTAGAAGGAACTTTGTAAGCAAAGGCAGGGGGCAGGGAAAATGTTCAGAACACAGGGCAGGTGACATGCTTCCTCTTCCTCTGGGAAGAGGGTTAGTCCCATGGAGCAAGGTCGGGGGGGGGGGGGGCATGAACCTCTTAACCATAGCACAGTGAGAGGAGCTGGAACCCCTTCTTGGAATCAGCTGCTCATTCTAGGTTGAGCCCCAGTCTTTTTTTTTTTTTTTAATATATTTTATTGATTTTTTACAGAGAGGAAGGGAGAGGGATAGAGAGCTAGAAGCATCGATGAGAGAGAAACATCGATCGGCTGCCTCCTGCACACGCCCCACTGGGGATGTGCCCGCAACCAAGGTACATGCCCCTGACCGGAATCGAACCTGGGACCCTTGCATCCGTAGGCCGATGCTCTATCCACTGAGCCAAACCGGTTAGGGCCGAGCCCCAGTCTTAAGCAGGTCTGCCTACCTGGACTCTGGCTGCCCTCACAGGCCTGGGCAGAAAAGCCAACCAGCCCGCTTCCTTCCCAAGTAGAGCAGAGCTCTTCCAAACTCATCTGACTGGCCAGTCCTGATCCTGGTTCCACCTGGCCCCTACGTGTTCCATCTGATTCTTGCCCAGTTCTGAGGTAACACTGGTAAACTATGCTGGCTTCCACGAGCTATTTTCTCCTGATTTCCTTCTAGCTGTTTCTCCTCATGTTCCTCTGTGGGTTTCTTTCATCTGCCCAAGCTTCTCACTCCAAAGGGTCCTATCCTGTCCTTGTCTTTTTATTACCCATGTTCTTCCTAACCCACTCCACTGACTTTGACTATCACCTAGATGTTTTCCCCAGAGCTTCAAACCCACTCTCCAACTGCCTCTGTGGGATGGTCCACAGGCACCACACACTCGATATGTCCAAAATGAAATGATCTGCTTGCCTCCAAACCCGTTCTTCCTGTGTTGATTACATAGCCAATGGTTCCATCCTTTGCCCTAGTGCATAAGCAAAAAAAAATGTGGTTGTCAGCTTTGACTCTTCCCTCCCTCTCCTCCCCCAGAAGTATTATCACCATGTTCCAGTCACTATGCCTTATATATGTTTATCTAATCCACCCGCCTCTCTCCATCCCGCTGTGACTCGGACACCATCGTCTTTTGCTTGGATTATTACAACTGCCTCTGGACTTGACTCTTTGCCTCAGTTTTACCCCTTGCTTGTCTCTTGTGTACCCTTCTGGATGCTCTCCAGGAGAGCCCGTTTCTTAGCCTTTTCCACCTTCTAGAATCTAGAGGCTTCCCACATTTCTTGGTTCATGACCCCCTTCTTTCATTTTCAAAGCCAGAAAAGTTACATCTCTCTGACCACTCTTCCATCATCACATCTCTCTCTGCTTCTCTCCTATTTTCCTCTTCCACCTTTAAAGACCCTTGTGATTGCATTAGACCCATAATCCAGGATAAAAATCTCCATCTCAAAATCCTTAATTGTATCTACAAAGACCCACTTGCCATGTAATATAATAGATTCACAGGTTCGGAGGACTAGAAGATGGACATCCTTGGGGGACTATTATTCTGCCTACCACAGTCCTTTCTCTGACCCCACCCCCAATATTTGTGTCTGTCCTGCATTCAAAATACATTTGCCTCATTTCAAAAAGTCCCAGCCCATTCAAGTATTAACTGAAAGTCCAAAATCTTATCTAAATCCCACCAGCTCAGCCTGGCCAGTGTGGCTCAGTGTTTGAGCATCAACCTATAAACCAGGAGGTCACGGTTCGATTCCGGGTCACGGCATATGCTCAGATTGTGGGCTCAATCCCCAGTAGGGGGCTTGCAGGAGGCAGCCGAATCAATGATTCTCTCTCATCATTGATGTTTCTATCTCTCTCCTCTCTCTCCCTCTTCTTTCCTCTCTGAAATCAATAAAACTATATTTTAAAAAAAGAATTATAAACTTATTTTTACCTCTGCTAGCAGAAGGGCTGAAACCAAAATGGCATCAGGGGGGCAGCGATACTTATGTCTCTTGTAAGTAAAGTTTAGTCACAATAAGTGGTCAGACCAGGTACAGGTGGGGGCCAGGTGTAGGCAATCCACTAGAAACTGGATGAGGCAGTTTCCTGGAAACTGAAGGCTGTTAATCATGAAACCTATAAGGAGAATAACAGGAAAATCGCCGGGAAGGGGCAAGAGCCCCAAGCAGGGCATAATGGAGCACAGGAATGTATCTAACAATGATATGAGGACTATATTACGATAATTTATGTCAGGAGATTAGCATAGTGCCTGGCACAAAGTAAGTGCTCAGTAAATGTTGATTGCTGTGTATGAATGATAAACTCAACCACATAAAGGTTTAAGAGAAATCTGGCTCTGCACAAAGACAACAAGCTTGTGGGGGGAGGGGGCGGGGGGATGTTGGTGGCAGCTCAGTTGTGGATTTCACATTACTTACCTGGGGGTGGGATCGCGGTGGGAAAGGGGACAGGGAGGGGTGGAGTATGTGCCTTTAAGATGAGAGAAATGGGGACCAGGAAACTTACAAAATCAATCGATCTGAACCAGGCCCGGTAGTTCTGTGGGTTAGAGCGTCATTCAGATACGCTGAGGTTGCGGTCCGATCCCCAGTCAGGACACAAACATGAACGCCTAGATAAGTGGAACCAGGTTCTAAAAATGGTGAACCGCTGGGTGAAGGATCCCACAGCATCCACTGCACCAACCTTCAATATCTGGTGGAGGAGATCATTCAGATCGAATCTATGAGCCCAAGTATTGGAAAGAGGAGTGCTTTGGTCTGACGGCTGAACTTGTAGTCGATAAAGCCATGGAGTTAAAGTTTGTGGGTGGCGTCTACGGTGGCAACATAAAGCCAACTCCCTTTCCGTGTTTGACCTTGAAGTTGCTGCACATTCAACCAGAGAAGGATATCATTGTTGAGTTTATAAAAAATGAAGACCTCAAGTGCATTCGCATGTCGGGAGCACTTTACATGAGGCTGACAGGCACTGCAATAGATTGCTACGAGTTCATGGAGCCTCTGTACAATGGCTACAGAAAAATCAAGAGCCAGAACCGAAATGGGGATTTTGAGCTGATGCATGTAGACGAATTCATTGATGAACTACTGCGCTGAGAGAGTCTATGTGACATCATTCTGCCCCGGCTACAGAAACGCTATGTTGCTAGAGGAAGCTGAGCAATTGGAGCCTCGGGTTAGCGCTCTAGGAGAGGACATGGATGATGTCCAGTCCAGTGAAGAGGATGAGAACTTGCAGGGGGTAGTACCATCACCTGATCACCGCTGGAGAAGCCAGCTACGGAGACTAGGCCCGTTGCCCACACTGCGCTACAGGAGTAGGAGTGGGTCTCCCAGAAGGCGGAGTAGGTCTCCCAAGAGGAGGAGCCCTTCCCCGCCTCCGAGAGAGGCATCAGAGCAGGAGTCCAAGACCTCACAGATCCCCTTAGTCACAGACACAGGGTACACTCAAAATCTCCAAAAACATCTAAGAAGAACCACAAGAAGAGCCAGAGGAAACGCACAATGAACTCAGATTAGGTTTAGTCCAAATGGCCTGCAGATATGAAGTCATCTCTCTATGTGGAAGGGTTAAGATCTACTCCTGAGGCAGCTATGAGAATATTTTAGTGTTTTTTAAAAAAATATATTTTTATTTGATTTCAGAGAGAAAGAGAGAGGGAGAGAGAGATAGAAACATCAATGATGAGAGAGAATCATTGATTGGCTGCCGCACACTGGAGATTGAGCCTGCAACCCGGGCATGAGCCCTGACGGGGAATCAAACCGTGCCCTCCCGGTTCATAGGTCAAAGCTCAACCACTGAACCATGCCGGCTAGGCAAGGGGTGTTTTTTTACTTTTTGACATAAAGAATCTCTAGATATTTTCTTATTAAATGAAAGAGGTGCTGGGGGTGGGGGGAGTTCATTGCTGTTTCTCTTTTCTTTCAAAGGGAGTCTTTCTGCCTGGGTCCATTCATTCCCTTCCAAGGGCATGCTAGGGGCGTGTCCACTCCTCCCTCCGCCCCACCCAAGCTCCGCCCCTCACGTCTGCCCGGATTGGTTACTCAGAGGCGAAGCCCCGGGAAGAGCCCAGTACCAAGTGGTGGGGGCGTGGCGCATGCGCGGGCTGGGCAGGGTGGAAGTGAAGAGGAAGAGCTGCCGGAAGTAGACGGCAGAGGTGGTGGCGGAGCGGCCGGCAGCTGCCTGGGAAACGGGGGCCCGGGACGCTTGGCTCGCAGACAGGCAGGCCAGGCAGTCGTTTCTGTGCCCGGCACCCGGGAGGCCCGAGAGCCCCCTTTGCATGGGCCGAGGGCCCCTGGTCCGGCAGCTTTCTCTGCCTTCCTAAGCCCGCCAGGGGCGCAGCGCCGAGGGGCTGCAGAGTGGGGGGCGGGCGCGGCTGACCCGAGGAGGGGCGCGGGGCAGTGGAGAGAGTCCTGCCCCGCTCAGGAAGTGACCCTGGGCGGGGGACGGGGAGTCCTCACCTCCGGACCGAGGCAAAGGTTTCTGGGGGTGAAGAGGGCGCATCGCCCTCTGCCCCCGCCGGCACCCTGGCCATGACGGGCAAGTCAGTGAAGGACGTGGATCGGTACCAGGCGGTCCTGGCCAACCTGCTGCTGGAGGAGGATAACAAGTTTTGTGCGGACTGCCAGTCTAAAGGTAGCGTGTCTCCCCCCGACCCCCACCCCGGCGGGCGGAGGTCCTCCAGCGTCCGCGCCGCGCCTGGGAGGTGGTTGTGTGGGGAGGGGTTCCTGGAGCTTCGGCCGCCCCAGTCATCCTGAACGGTAACCTCGTGGTCCTCTTGCTGCTGGCCTGCTAGGGGCTCTGCAGCGCCGAGAGGTTGCGAGGGCGAGTGTGCGTGTGTGTTGCAGGGGGGGCGGGGGGGGAGGCGAGGGCAGGGGGGTGATGATGGCGGTGGGGGAGTGGCGTGGTGTGTGCGGGTGAGGGTGTCTATATTTCAGGGCTTTGAATGAGTTCTGGGCTGTCATTCCAGAGGCAGCCCAGAGCTTACAGCCTTCCACTTGCAAAGCTGGGGATGAACTGCAGTTTGTGTGACTGTGACAGCGAGGAGAGGGGGAGGGAGGGAGGGAGAGGAGAAAAGTGAGGTGGTGATGGGGAGGAAAAGTGCTTAGTTGATTTTTTAAAGGTGATGATTGTTGCTGCCGGCCATTTGGTGAGCAGTGCCTTCTGTCGTTTTACCGACTTGCTGGGATCTGACAGTGCTGAGGTGGCTTTCTTCCTGGATATGTGCAGTGGGAAACTGCTTTCTGCAGTGACACAGTGCGGGTTTCTAGACAGCCTAGCCCTGGCTCCGGAGTGCGTTTGAGGCCTAATGTGTATGTGGTGGCAGAAGCTAGCGGATTGTGGCCTTAGTTTAGGATCCGTATAATCGCTGGAGAGAAGGAAGCAAGGGATGCATTGAATTTGTTGCTTCCATGGTGGTATTACCCTTCTAAAGGTGAAATATGGTCATTATAAATTGGCACAGTCATTTAGTCTTTGTTTTCTGTGTCCTCAAAGATTCGTGGTTTGATCCAATTAAAAATCAATGTGATAGGAAAGCATGGTTATTAGTGAAATGTTTGCACTTGAAATTTACAGATACAAGTGTCTATAAATATTTTGTTTCCTTGTTATCTTTCTGAATTTGGAATATAATTAGAGGAGTTGGGAAAATTTTTTTTGTTTGGTTGGGGAGAAAGATAGTTATATTTTGGGAACTATTGTTAATTTACTTCTGTTCATCGTGCAGTTGATTTGCCATGTAACATATTGGGCATATAGCATACAAGAAATATTCAAATGCATTTGTATTTATCAATACTGACAAGGGAAGTATATGCATAATCGATGCTTTCACTCATTACCTTTTGTTTTGTTTTATTTATTTATTTTTAAAATATATTTTAATTGATTTCAGAGTAGGAGAGAGAGATAGAAACATCAATGATGAGAGAGAAACACTGATTAGCTGCCTCCTGCATGCTCCCCACTGGGGATCAACCCAAGCATGTGCCCTGACCAGGAATCCAACCATGACCTCCTGGTTCATAAGTTGATGCTCAACCACTGAACCACGCCAGCCGGGTTTATTACCTTTTATTTTAGAAAAATAAGGTTATGTGAGGAGAACAGGGAGATGATACATTGATACTGCTAGACACCTAGTAATCTATTTTAGTTCCCTCTACCAATAGATAAATGTGTCATTTAGGAAAGCAGGTCCCCAGACTTCTTTTCTGAATTTTTGCATTAGCAAGAATTCATTTTCAAAAGTACTTTAGAATCAGTTTATGTTGAGTACGTTAATTTCTTAAAGTTGACTCTTGCTAGATTTTGTCCTAAATCTATTAGAAGATTCTGTTTAAAATTTAGGAGTGTATCTCTTGATTTTACTCAAATTCCCTTGTGTCCTTGGTTGACAGATCTTGAGTCACAGTGAAGCAACCCACTGGAGTGAGCCTGCTACATTTGGGGAGTCAGATGCCATTTTGATGACTAGTACCACCCCCACTCCTCATGTGTCATACTACTCTTTTTTAAAAGGAATTTTTATAAACAGTTATTTATTGAAGTTTTAAAAAATTTATCTTTTTTGTTGAAGTATTACAGATGTCCCCCTTTTTTTCTTATTGACTCCCCACTTCCCCATCATACCACTCTTATTCTTACTCATATTCCAATAGAGCATATGGAAGAAAGAGGTTGATTGATCACTTCTCCAAATTTTCCATTGCTCTTTATCAGTAGCATTAACTGGGGATCAGGTAATGAAACATTAGTTAATTCTTAATGAGAACTAGTAAATGATGGCTTGTAAGCCTTATTAACTACTGTTGATGGTAGAATCCAGGTTCCTGAAACAATTTCTTTTCACAAGTTAGTTTAACAGTTTGGCTTGGTGGCTTCAGTGACTTGGCCATTGTATTAAAATTGAGATGACAAGATGTCAGTCATCTTTCAGTTCAGTTAAATAAGACATTTGTGGAGGCCTCAGTTTACCCAGTTTATGAATTATCTAAACCCTCCACTATTTCAGCCCCTCTCACTCATTTTCCTCTTCCTTTTTCCTGATTTTGGTTGTCATAATGATCATGTGAACAGCTGTCAGATGGTGGAAAGAAGAGGCATTTGCAATCAATAGGTTACGTTGCCTGTTAGCTGTGGTATCTTTAGTGGGAGGAGGAATTTAAAAACGGTTGGCTAAAATGAGACTTAGATGTGAGCTTATCTCTGTGTCTCATGTTCTTTCTTACCTTAGAAAATTGAGAGCTAACTGGGTCCTCAAAGATTCATGGTTTGATCCGATTAAAAATCAGTGAGTGATTGCTGATCCATTCATATTAAATTAGATGATGTAGCCTGGACTGCAGACCTGTGAGCAGGTATTTTTGCAGTGTCCAAAAATAACTTTTTGGCAATGAGTCTCCTTATACTTATTTAAGAATTTTATTATCTTTAGATACATAATTTAAACATTAGAGTAGAGAACAAGAATGTGTTCTCTTATATAGTGCACGTTCTGTTAGTCCTGGATTTTTTTAAATCTCTTGAGCACAAGACTCACCAGTTTCTGGTACCTCTAAGGCACAGTGATTCCTGTGTGGGAAAGGAAGCTGATTTGGCACTGCCTTAAAAAAAAAAAAAATACTGTGACTTGCTGTAGGCCCAAAGATGTGGTTTCCTCACCATCCCAAGCCTTCAAGTTATTGTGACCTTTAGGGTAAGTTGTTTGGACTGATCTAGTGGTAGAACAGAGGACAAACGTACTGAAAATTCCAGGTATGCCAATGGTAGCTCTACCCAGTTAAGGCTGGGTCCTGTTTTTGCATAGACCCTTGGTGGGGTCTGACTGGCCCATGGTGTAGTCTTTAGCTCTGCAGTTCCATGTTTTATCAGTGTGCCTGAAATAACTCCTTATCGACCTCTTCAGAGACTGGTTTAAATTAGACAGTATCTTATTTGCCATGAAAGGATCTACCTCTCTGATGACCTGAATACTTGTGTCCGCTCTTGGGACACTCCTTTCTCAATACCGAGGCTCGTAAAAAATCGAGAACTGTATAATGAGCAGAGAATTAAACAGAAAGAAATTTGATGGCCTTGAGGAATATTTACTTCAGACTTTGAAGCACCACATGGAATTCTGGAGTCTGACAGAAACTTTGTAATACTTTTTACTTTTCTCTTCTGCTGCATCCTATCTCTGAAACGTTTCACCTTGAATCACCTAACCATTGCATCTGGTTCAATTCCCATTATATATTCTTAAATTTAAATTTACCTTTTGAAAAAGGTAGCACTTGCATGTGGTTCAAAATTCAAAAGGTCTAAAAGGGAATGTGTACGGTGAAAAGTTGTGTTCCTGTCCCTGATTTCTTAGTCACCATTTTTGTTCCTGGGAGTAACCACTGTTGGTAATTTTTTATGTGACTTTTAAGATATAATCTATGCATAGACAAACAACTACATTTAAATATATTCCTAAACAGTGCTTTTGTGCAAAAAGTAGGTGTTACCCCACTTAATGGCAGCTTGCATTTTTCTTTTAAATTATTTTTAAAATGTATTTTTATTGATTGATTTTAAAGAGAGAAAGGCAGTGAGAGAGGAAAGCAGAGAGAGAGAGAGAGAGAGAGAGAGAGAGAGAGAGAGAGAGAGAAACATCAGATTGTTGTTTTACTTATTTATGCATTCATTGGTTGATTCTTATCTGTGCTCTGATCTAGAATCGGACCTGTAACCTTGGCACATTTGGCCCATGCTCTAACCAACTGAGCTACCTAGGCAGGGCTGCACCTTGCATTTTTCAGGCAATAGTATAACATGGGAAACATGAAGGTTCACAGTATTGAGGGGCTTCCTCATTCTTTCAAGGTATTTTCTTTTTCTTTTTTTAAATATATTTTATTGATTTTTTTAAGAGAGGAAGGGAGAAGAGGAGGGATAGAGAGTTAGAAACATCGATGAGAGAGAAATGTCGATCAGCTGCCTCTTGCACACCTCCTACTGGGGATGTGCCTGAAACCAAGGTACATGCCCTTGACCAGAATAGAACCTGGGACCTTTCAGTCTGCAGGCCGGCACTCTATCCACTGAGCCAAACCGGTTAGGGCTCAAGGTATTTTCTAAGGTTATACCTAGATTATCTTGCTTAAGTGATTTGGAAACCTCTGATCTCATTAAAGGCATCTTAGAAAGTGTCTTAGGCCCATCCATAGCACATAGCCCACCTTACAGGTGCAAAGAAGCAGAGCAGTGGAAGGGGCTGTAGACGTGATGTTGAAATATTCAGTTAAACTCCTTTACTTATTTTAGCTTTGGGACCGTCAGTATGCCACCTGACATTCTCAGTTTAATTTCCTTCCTTTGAAAACAAAAGTGCTGAGTAAACAAAAGTGTTACACAGATGTAAGCATTATTTATTACCGTTGCTGCTCTTATTTATTTTATCTTGATTTTATTCATTTCCCATTCTGATTTTATTCCCTTAAATACTCTAGTTCCTGGAAGGCACAATGAGAATGACTCACCCAATAATTCCCTAGTCTTTAAGCCAAAACCATTTCCTATATATGGGAGTTCCGGCTTTTTTTTTTTTTTTTTTTTAAACAATTCACAGTCAGTTTTATTTGGCTTAGGCCAGAAGTCCATGAGTCTTGAGGACCTCTGTGTATCTGTCAGTTTTCTTCTCCGTGTTCTTTTCTGCCTGCTTCCAAAGCCTCACGAGCTGCTCTTTCTTCTGGTAATGGACCTTGGCCTCTCCTTCCTCTTCTCCTGGAGCGTGGCTGTGACTGCCTGGTCCTTCAGCCAACCTCATGAGCCAGGCACCCTGGGTAGGCAGACTTCCATGTAGGCTTCAGACGTACATCCTTGAGGGCTGCAGCACCATTTGCTTTTTCTTATCACAGGGTGGCAGGATCCCATCCCTGGCCTGGCTTGGTCTTGTGGAGCAGTGTTCCTTGCAGGGTCGCCAAAAGATGCTGTTGGGGGATAGGGAGTGGTAAGGACCGCAGGATGGCTTGGTGTGTATTCGCTTGCGGAGGAAGGCCAGGTACTTCAACCTGTTTCTGTAGAAATTGCCAGAAATGTTGATGCCCTCACAGTGCACAATCACCATCTTCTGGCCCAGCAGTATCTGCTTGGTCACGATGGCTGCCAGGCGACCCAGAAGATGGCCTCGGCCGTGGAGCACCGGCATCTGCCCAACGCCATCTTCAGCAGCCACCTGGGAAAGAAGTGGAGGTTCTGGCATTTTTGTAAATGTACTTTATTGTGACCCTTGAGGATGGTCTCTGGATGTTTCCTGACTCTTCAAACTTGATTGAAATATTACACCAGGGAATCTTTGTATTAAATTCTCTAATAGTAGTCCTAAATTTTAACTCCAGTAAATTAATCTCTAGTTTTGCTTTACATTTGTTTCTGTTGATAGCTAAACCATTGCTTGTTAAACATCATTACTTAGAACATGAACTTTCCCATAAATTTTTAATTATTTTCACTGTATCTATGTCACCTTTTGAAAGGTTAAAAAATTCCATCAGATCTAGACAACAGAAAAAGTTTTGCTTTGAAGAAGTTTTGCTTCCATCTATAGTCCAACAGCTTTCTCCAACCAAGATCAAATAACTTTTTGGGTTTTTAACATCTAATTCACCTGAATTCTGACAGCTGTGGTTAGCTTGACTCCATTTTACTGAGATTAATTTGTCCAATTCCCAATTAGAATGTCTTAATATCAACTTGTTAAACCTGTTCCCTGGGAGATACTTTCCTATCTGTTCTCCTTGTACTTGAAATATCCCGTGGCAGTGGGACAGAGATTACAAAATGTCGTAACTTTTAGGGAGAACTCTTTGCAAACCTGCAATCCCACACTACATGTATTTATTCAGACATTATTCCTTACACACTTTGTGTCAGACACTGTACCAGGATATGTAGATTAAAAACTAGGGCTCAAGAAGTCTACAGTCTAATGGGAAAGCATATGTGTTAACACATAAATGATGCAATGCTGTCATTAGCGTTATGGCATTGTGTGCAGGGAGAAATGAAAGCATTGAAGAAAGCAAACAAGTCGGCCTCAGGAAGTTGTGGCTTCAAAGAGACATGTAGGCCGTATCTTGAATGATGAGCATGACTTTGCCAGGTGAATTTAGGGGACTTTGCATTCTGGGCAGAAGAAACAATGTGCAAAGGCTGCTGGATGTATCACGTGTATGTGTGTGTGAGGAGAATCTTTAGTATATTTTACCTACATGTTGGGGGGGTGGCAAGGGACTTTACTGTGTGGTACTGAGATTATGAATATACTTTAGACTCCCATAGTACTGGAAGTCTACCTGCTACTCAGATAGAAGTATAAGTATTGCAGTTATGAAATATTTTCTGATTGCTGAGTAATAAAAAAAGGTCCGAGTACTATGCCCACAAGATCTCCATGGAAGCGCACCTTCCAGAATACATTAAATTATCTTAGAAAAGTCTAGTGAAATGGCAGCAATAAGTGTTATGTCATTTCTGGATGGATGACATTGGTTTTTGAGTCTGGACATGCTGCTATAATCAGTCTAAGAGTACTGAATATTTGATGTGTGCTTGTAGTTACTCAGTGCATAGAGTGTGTAAACAGGAAGTGCAGCCTGATCTCAGTACACTTTTCAGCAAATCTATTGCTTTCAAATAAATCAGAAAACTACTTTCTTTCTGCATTTTTCATCTGATGTCATTGTTACGTAGGTGGCAGCTTTCTTGGGCACGGTTGTCTATATAACTGTTCAGCACATGAGTCATTGTCTGTTTCTGTTCTTCTGCCTGAAAATTTCATCTTGGGAATAATGTCATGCGATTGGTGACTGCAACACTTTACTCATTATGTACATTGCAGCTGGCTTTGTATGTTATGTTGACGGTATTTACCTGTGCCATACATGAGGATAAAGTGACTTATTAAATAGACTCAAACTCAGTTCTTTCAAATGATATCCCCTGTGAAAAAGATGCCAAGCAGAAATCTGCATAAAACATATTTATGTTTTACTAGTACATTCTAAGCATACTGTGCCTAACTTTTATTATTGTGTCTGCTTAAATCCTTATCACAGTTGTACTTCTGTTTGAGCACAAGTGGCCAGTTTAAGTAGATACTAACTTTGAAGAAGTTCTGTATTGGCCTCTGGAATGTGACAGTTCAGCATACCACATTGAAAAGGTAGGAACCACGTCTGTGTAGAGTAGAACACCTTAAAGTGAATTCATTTTTGCCAAATTCCTCTATTGTTAAAGACATATTCCTATATTGGTTAGTTTTTTAAAACTGTAATTTGCCACAGTTGACATGTCCACTAGAATGTAAGCTCTGTGAGGGCAGGGGTGTTGTGCCTGTGTTGTTCACCGTAGTATTCCCAGCACCTAGAACAGTGCTTGGCACAGATCAGGCTCTCGCTAAATATTTGTTAGAATGAATGAATTGATTTTTGTCATTCATAAATCCGTTGTTTCTTACTAGAAGACATCTTTTACAAGTTACCTGAAAGTTTAATTTTTAGAGAAGCTGTTTTTGTTGTTAATCCTCACCCGAGGATATTTTTCCATTGACTTTTAGAGAGAGTGGAGGGGAAAGGGAGAGACAGAAACATCAATGTGAGAGAGACACATAGATTGGCTGCCTCCTGCACACCCACTACTGGGGATCAAGGCTGCAACTGAGGTATGTTCTTTTGACCAAAATCTAACCGGGACCCTACAGTCCGAGGGCCTACGCTCTATCCACTGAGTCAAACCAGCTAGGGCAGGGAAGCTAAGTTTAAAAATATTTTTTAAAGTCAGAGACCCATTAGGGAAACAGAAACAACTATAGGTAGTATAAGCAGAGGGAATTTAATATATGGAATAAGTTACACAGATGATATAAGAGCTGAGAAGGTAAATGGGCTGGTGAGGCAACCCAGAGATTAGCAACCTGGGAGCTACTATATATACCCCTAAGGAAATTAGAAGGTGCTTCAAAGACCAGAAGCCTGAGCCATCTGGTGTGAGCTAGAAGCATGGAAAGAAGAGCTGTCTGGTGGCAGTTGGAACTCAGACCAAGTAAGAGAGAGGGCATTAGCCTGGCTTCCCCTGTCCTATTTCTTATCCTTATCAGTACCAACCATTGATGGAACTTACCCAGAAATCAGTTGGCAAGGGAGATGTAGTTCCCTGTGACAGAGTGGAGCAAGGGAAGGATCGAAGTGGAAACAGGCAAAAGCACTTAAAAAAACCTCTAAGATATATTCTTTCTCCTGATAAATAAATAGTTGGGTTATTTTGGGCAAGAGATTTCAAGCAGGTACAACTTTATATGCTTCTAAAGGTTCTTAACTGTTGCTGAAACTGAAACAATAATTGGTATCAGGAAGTAATATAACAACTCAGTCATTGGTCATACAAAGAGGATGCGTGACTAGGAAAACTGGCTTCTGTTGAATCCGATTTGACTGTTGGTCGCTGCCAGGAGTGATTTATCATTTGGTTACTCAGAAAATAGGTTCCTACCCTGTCTATTCTGGGAATCCTTAAGCAGGATGTGTATACATTGAGTTTGTCCCGTCTACAACTGCAAGACTTGAGTCAGTTACACCTAAGACGTACAGAGAGAATTTTGAGGATTGCAGCTTTAAAACATGGTGCAGTTTACTCTTTATTTTTTTATATAATTAAGGTAATTGTGGTGGGGCTGATTTCCCTTGTGCCACATATTTTACTGGTCTTTGTCTGTCTCCCCCACCCTTACATCTTCAGATGGGTCAGCACTGGGGGAGGGAGGTGAGATCACTGGATCTGCTTTCTTCTATACAGGGCCTGAAAAGTATATCTTGTAAGGAAAGTTTCTGCTGCTCCATTTAAAGGCAAAACTTCCCAAATTATTGCTGCTAGTTTTCTTCTTGATTATAAAGTGCTTAAGGAGTTACATGATACAAGTTTAGCACTTTCTAGAAGTGCTTTTTTTGTCAATCAGGTCACCTGCCTTTGGGCCCCTGCTACGTTAATGGAATTGGTGGAACTAGGCCAGCAAAGGTTTTCAGTGGAGTGTAAGTATGTTTGCTTTTAGGCTATTTTCCACAGAGGCCGCGGATAAGGGACCCTCATTGTTCGAGTAAGGTTATCAACTGTAAAAATTGCACAGGTTTCATTGTTTTTCTCTTTTCTCAAAAAATTAATTTCCTCTTGGCAGGTATTACTATAATTCCAGATGTCATTAAAATGTAATTTGTATTTTAAAAAGTGTATGAGACTGCTTTCCAGAATACCAGTTCTTTTCAGCCAGTCCATTCAACTTAAGAGGTACATCTATGTATTTTTAAAAAATTTGTATTGATTTCAGAGAGGAAGGAAGAGGGAGAGAGAGATAGAAACATAAATAATAAGAGAGAATCATTGATTGGCTGCCTCCTGCACGCCTCGCACTGGGGATCAAGCCCACAACCCCGGCATGTGCCCTGACCAGGAATCGAACGGTGACTTCGTGGTTCATAGGTCAACACTCAACCACTGAGCCATGCTGGCCGGGCACATGTATGCATTTTTGAAGCCTCATGTTTAATAAGTACAATATTTCACTATTGTGTTTGACTCTTCCATTTTCCAAACTTTCTCCTTCCCTACCCCACTCCTGTGGATCCTGTATTTCCCCACAGGCTTTGTGGATGCTGGTCCATTGATGGCTGCACGGCAGGCCCCTCCCCAGTGGAAAGCCTCAGAGATGAGTCAAATCTGCCTTCGGCTGTGGCCATCCATCAGTGTAAGGTTGCCCTGGTGGTCATCTTCAGTTTGTCCAACTTTCCCCTTCCCCCCTGACTTCCCTCATATGTGGCTGAAACTTGCCCTGGAATCCCACCTTCGTAACATATCAATGGGTGGTTAACAGGATTTTATTATTGCTGCTTTTTTTCACTTTTAAGTAATGTTAAGTAGTTTTCTGACCATTTTTGTTGACATAGCATTCCCCCCCCCCTTGTATATTTCCTATGGGTATTCTGGTTTGCTCTTACATACATATAGAATATAGTTTATTGAGGAAGTACTGGATTTCAGAAGCCCGCTTGAAGAATGCTGTACTGATTTTTTTTTTACTTTAAGTCAAAACTTTCAGAAAGAAATGTCTTAATCCAAAGCAGTGAGAACTGGATTCCTCAGGCTTCATGTCATTTCCCCTCAACCAAAAAACAAGTGTGCAACATCCTCATTTTATGATTTATTGAAAATGGTAAAGCAGAAATAGGAGGAAGTGAGATCTGATGTCTGTAGCTGGGAAGCCTGTCTTAGAATAGCGATTTGAGAGAGAATAGCCTTTTCTCAAATAACCAGGCAGTCTTTTGCCGCAGTTGCTAGTGATGGAAAGATCATAAATCCCCAAGCTTCTACCACAGAGCTTATGTTTTTAGATGTGGGTTTACATATTAATCCTACAACGTTGCTTCCTGAAGTGCACACCAAGTAAATGTCAACTTCTTCCTCTTTTCTTGTCTTTCTGGAAGTCCCCAGTGTGTGGATTTTGAACTAAGTTCTCTAGTGTTTCAAGCCCTGAGTTAAAAATTGTCTTAATATTATTTAGGTGGTTGTTCTTGTTCTGTGTCTTCAAAAAATAATTTCTCACAGAATCTTCTATGTGAGCTGGGAACATCTTATCTTTGGCTGCAGTCTAAAGCTCATGGGGGGAGGGGTGCTGGTGTCTTTTTCTTGTTGATACTTTACCACTAGGGTTATAATTAACACAAGCCCTCCGATGAGAAGTAGGAAGGAAACTCCCTGCTCTTACCATGATGCTTTTGTTCAAAATAGCTGTAAACAGCAGAGCTAATGGAAACCGATTTAAGTGTGACCGCTGGTTTGAGAAAGAAAAAATGAGAAGATTCAGGCTCCTCTGTTATGTTGAAAGCATTTTTACTGAAAGAATAGCTGTTTGGAACTGGGGGCTTCCTCTGTCTGAAGTTAGGCATGAGGTCTTGGGTTAGGGAACATTATGTAGATAAACCCAGAGCAAATCTCTAGGGAAAAAAATCACAGCTTCAAAAGAGTCAAAGCAAGGTTCTTCAAAGTAAACACACCTGTTCCAGTGGGACAAGGACCTTCTAAAGCTGCCGCCAGGTTATTATTCATGTCTGCGGCAGCTGAGAACAGGGCTACACACTTACTCCCTCCCACAAAAAGGCCAAGGGACCGCTATTTTAGCCTCCTGTTTCACACCCCATGCTACATTTCCCCCAAGACGATGTATCACACTAAAAGCTCCTAGTGAGAGGGCAGAGTACTAGCTGGGTGACTGGCTCTGGTTTTCAATGTGGCACCAAAGCCAGAAGCACACAAAAAATGGCACAAAGAAGTGATTACCACAAAGCAACCATGAGATTCCCTTGCTCAGCTTCCTGGAATGTACAGATCTTCAAATATCTGTGTTAACAGTATGAAGGCAACTTTCAAAAGACAAAACATTGGTGTTGCTCAATGGTTAAGCGTCGGCCTGCACACCAAATGATACACAAACAGAATACAATAAAGGTATTTAGATGTTTTTATTGTCATGAAAAACACTTATAATAAATGTTACACAAAAACCATAATGAAAACATAAGCTCAAGTAAAAAATAAGCAAAATGGGGTATGGGCAATATCTTCTGCATCACTATACTTCATTCTTCTTAAAGAGCGTTATCACAAATGTGAGTAACTTTCATAATCAGAAAAATAAAGATTTGCTTTCTAAAGAAATCACATTTAATGATGTTTAGCTAATAAGCACAAGGACTCTTCTACCTCCCCACTCCCCCAAATCCCACAAGACAAAAAACAGCTGGTCTGGGAGTCTGATCCTATGGTAACAACTAGAGGCCCGGTGCACAAACTTGTGCACCGGTAGAGTCCCTAGGCCTGACAGGCGATCAGGGCCAATCGGTGCCTTCTGGCTGCTGGCTAGGGCTTTCCTTCTGGCTGTCGGCCGGGGCCTGCCTTCGTTCCGCGCCGCATCCTGGTGGTCAGCGCATGTCACAGCAAGTGGTCGAACTCCTGATCAGTAGAACTCCCAAGGGGACAATTTGCATATTAGCCTTTTATTATATAGAATTCTCCCCCACTCACCCCCATAAATACATAAGAAGTCTAATGAAACTGAACCCCATTTTTACTCTGCACCCAATATTAGACCCTTGATTTGAGTGACTTCTGTCAGGCTGCTTTCTGTTCACAGATAAGGCTCAGAACCAAGTCAGAATGCTCAGAGGAGCTGGTTTGGAGTCTTCTGAGTCCAGTGTTGCATTTAATGACACTTTCTCTCACATACCAGCTAGGGACGTTATTATGGCACTCACTCTAAGGAAGATCTCTTCTCAAAATTATCCTTGATCCAAAACAGTTGCTCTAACCCAGTGGTTCTCAATCTCCCTAATGCCGCGGCCCTTTAATACAGTTCCTCATGTTGTGGTGACCCCCAATTTCATTGTTACAAATTGAACATAATTAAAGCATAGTGATTAATCACAAAAACAATATGTAATTGTATATGTGTTTTCCGATGGTCTTAGGCAACCCCTGTGAAAGGGTCGTTCGACCCCTAAAGGGGTCGTGACCCACAGGTTGAGAACCGCTGCTTTACAGGCTCTTTCCATTTACATGACTGGCATCTTCGCCCCACTCCTCTGGACCTCATTATACCCAGTTTTGAAATACCTAGGTTTTGAAACACAGTAGTGAATGTTTTTTTTCTGAAAGGGCCTATCTCCACCTTTTGCTCTCCTCCCTTTAGCCAGGGCCGTTTTGATGACTAACATTCAGCATGCCACTGCACTAACTGTTCTTTGACCCCAGAATTCATTTCTGTTCTGCTGCTGGTTTAGAAATGAAAGGTCTAGCTTGTTTGGATACGGTTGGGATTCAGTTAACCTGGCACTGATTTTCTGTCTGTTTGCCATTGGTTGGCGCTCCTCTGATGTGTCAGGGAAGCTGCCGCACGTCATTGTGGAGAGAAGTTTACATGTTCGTGATCTTGCACAAGGGTTCATCTGCTGACTCAGAAGGTTTGTGTGAAGCCTCTGCCTGGGTGAAAGGCATGAGATTCCCTTCCAACAACGGGAAAGCATCCCCGCCTGGGCACTTGTTTCTGAGCTCTAGTGTGTGATACTGTCCTCCACTTCTGGGCTTCCTTTGGGGGTGGGCAGTGGTGTGAATAAGCCTTCATGCACAACCTCAGGTGTTGGCTTCCTGGCAGCAGAGGGTGAGTTGAGTATTGAAATAGAAAAGAACAGGGTATCAATTCAGTGACTGTAATTCAGCACCTACCATGTATAACACACATTTGGGGTATACCAGTATAAAGATGGTTCTAATTCAGTCCAGCTGATGATTTCTTCTGTGAAATTGGGTAAATGACTTGACTTCTCTGGGCCTTAGTTTCTCCAACTGTGCTTGGACTAGATAATCCTTAAGGTTCTTTCCAATTTTGGAATTTTGTACTCTAAATTGTTCGTTACAGAACAGAAGAGGCTTTTCCAAAGAACTGGTATATTCTTATATTGCACATGCTCCAAACTAAATGGCTTATAAATGGTTCCTCTAGAGCCGGGCTTCTCAACCTCAGCACTCTTGATATTTATTTATTTATTTATTTATTTCTGGTACAAAGATCTTTATTGTGCTGCATAGAATATAACATTAATGGTACTGGTTAAAGGGAAGTCCTTCTTTAAGATTAAAAAAAATTTTTTATTGAATTTATTGGGGTGATATTGGTTAATAAAATTATATAGTTTTCAGGTGTACAATTCTATAATATGTCACCTGTATATTGTATTATGTATTCACCACCCCAACTCAAGTCTCCTTCTATCACCATTTATCCCCCCCCTTTACCCTCTTCACTCACCCCCATTTTCCTCTGGTAATCACCATACTGTTGTCTGTGTCTATGATTTTTTTTTTTTGCTTAATCCCTTTACCTTTTTCACCTCCCAACTCCCTCCCCTCTGACAGCCGTCAGTCTGTTCTCTATATCTATGAGTCTATTTCTATTTTGTTTGTTAGTTTATTTTGTTCATTAGATTCCACATAAAGTAAGATCATATGGTATTTGTCTTTCTCTGACTGGCTTATTTCACTTAGCATAATAGTCTCCAGGTCTATCCATGCTGTCACAAAAGGTAAGATTTCCTTCTTTTTTATGGCTGAGTAGTATTCCATTGTGTAAAATGTACCACAGCTTTTTTTATCCACTCACCCACTGATGGATACTTGGGCTGCTTCCAAACCCTGGCTACTGTAAATAATGCTGCAGTGACCATAGGGGTGCATATATTCCTTTGAGTTAGTGTTTTGGGATATATTCCCAGAAGTGTACTTGCTGGGTTCTCTTGCCATTTTTGATACTTCTTTCTTGTGGGGCTGTCTGGTGCATTGCAGGATATTTAGCAACATCCCTGGCCTGTGCCCACTAGATGCCAGGAGCACCCCCACCTCCTATCAATTATAACAACTAAAAGTGTGTCCAGACATTGACGTTGCCCCTTGGGAAAATTGCTTCTCTTGAAAACCACTGCTGTAAAGGAAAGAAAGTGGTGCTGTTTGGATGTAGGCTATTTTTAACATCCCTTTTTACATTGTTCCTCTTTCGCTTATGGCCCTATCACCCTTCTTTAGTAGCTTCTTTCAAAGATATGCATACCCCAAATGGACACTGTGCATCTTCAATTTTTTTTGTTTGTTTGTTTTCAGACTAGGAGTAGGATACTGGTTATTGCAAAGAAAAAGTTAAGACTTTAACTTGAAGGAATGTTAAAATGTTAAGAACTGAATGTCCCCAGGGAGTGAAGAAAGTGACTTCTAGCGAACCAAGTTAGATTTAGCACTTGTTACCTGAAGTGAGGTCATGACTGATGGGAAATTACTTTAATTATAAAGTCAAATTTGAAATATCAGGTCCAACTTGCAGACTTTGAAATGATTGCCTAGCTGTTAGCTCAGCAGTCCCTCCCTGCACACTTCCTCCCTGCGCCTGCTGTTAGCCATTGAGATAGTGATTGAAATGTATTACCTCTCTTACGAGATCTAATTTTTATACTTGTCATGTTTGCTATAAAATGTCAGTTTTAGATTGAATAAATGTATTTGCCCGAATGCCATCTTTTCTTCATCTCTTTTAAATCTACATTCTTGGCTGGGTTGGGTGCAGAATGATGCTATTTGCCGATTGGAGTAGTGTGTTCTGTGAGCATCCTTGCTGGCATGCTCTGGGACCCCAAAGCCATGACGAAGCCGACACTGAGCCTGTGTCAGTCCCTATCCCTCGGTCCCAGCAAGTCCTGGGTTCCATTTCAGCTGAGCCTTTACTGGAGTGATTGGCCGCAGGGAGCCTTCAAGCCAAACAATTGTTTGTACGGAGATAATCTTGCTGTTTAGCTCCAAATGAAATAATGTCCTTCCTGCCCCCAATGAAAGCAGTTGTTTATTTCCTCCCTTTTTCAGGAAGCCCTGCCTCACCGAGACTCCTAGTTTATTCATAAATGCTTTAAGCAAGGTCTTTGTGCAGAAATAATTGTCTACAGCCAAAATACTGTGGGCTAACCCGAGTCGAGGAATGTTAAGGATACTCTGTACTCTTTCCCCCAGCTTTCTGTGTAAGTTATTTCAGTGACCTTTGGATGATTTTCTGAGTAATAAGTGTTTTGAACCTCAAGTTCACATAAGACAAATACTAGTTTTTTAAGTATGCAAAATTATATTAAAGGAGCTCACAAAAATAAAACCCAACAACAGAACAATCATAGATGAGTGTCACAGCAGAACGACAGATTGTGGGAGTCAGAATAGGATGGAGCAAGATTTTCACAAAATGATGTTTTGCTAATGGAAGTAATAGCCCCGTAAAGCTATACGTTAAACCAGAAGTATGAGTAGTCCAGTTTTCCTTATTGGTCAAAACAGAGAACCTCCAAAATATGAATTCAGGAAGGAGAATCCACAAGCATAGATGGAAATTGCCCAGGTGGCCCCCATGTGTCTTACTTCTCTCCCCCAGCTGGGGCTGCTTCTCCGGGTGATTGGCGCTTTCATCACATTGCTGCTTCTGCTCTGACGCTCTGCTTCATGTGCAGACACCACATCAACCACTTCGTTTGCTTCTTTCCCCTTAGCCCTGTTAAGACTTTTTAGAACTTTAACAAGTAAAAGGGAAGCAAAGAATGGACATTACCACAAAATATATGAAAAAATTGTTCTTCCTCCACCCTCGCTGGTTTGGTTCAGTAGTTAGAGCATCGGCCCATAGACTGAAGGGTTTCTGGCTCGATTTCGGTCAAGGCACATACCTCGGTTGCAGGCTTGATCCCCATGTGGGAGGCAACTAATCAATGTGTCTCTTTCACATCAATGTTTCTCTCTGTCTCCCTCCCTCAAAAATCAATGGAAAAAACATCCTTGTCTGAGGATTAATAACAACAAAAAAGTCACTCTTTTAAGATTTACTTGTTGATCCTTCCTTGGCTTGTTCCCAGTCCCTGCTCCACTTCACAGTCCTGAGATCTCTGTGCCTCAGCTTTACAGGACCAGTGTAGATTCTTTTATTTTATTTTTTAATGTATCTTTATTGTTAAAAGTGTTACAGATCAGTGTAGACTCTTAATTACCTTGCTTGATTTCTTCTTTCTTGGCACCAGACCCTCCTCTGTATGTAAGGTGCTATGTAGGAATCCACCACCCATGAATTTAGAGCTTGACCTAGAAGTAAGAGCCAAACTAGCGTTCTTGTGCTGCTGCTCACTTAGGGCTCTTTTACTCATTTCTCAGTAGATAGGCACCCAGGCCCTTTACTGAGGATACTGGCATAGAGACATTGTCCTGCAGGTGAAACTCAAGATTCTACAGAAAGAATGGGGCTCCCACTTGGAGATCCAGCAGTATGTATCACATTTTTACACTAGTCTCTCATGAGAATATTTATTTAACAATAACAACAAAAACCCCAAATAATTACAAGATGCCAATTCCCCTAAACTAATCTATGAATTTGGGGTTAAACTAATAATAATATTGCTAAGTTTAGCTAGGGGTATTATTGTTTAGGGTTGGTTTTTTTTGCATTGTTTTTAAAACCAATCAAACCTTATTGAGATAAATATTAAGTTACTTTGGTAGATTTACAATAACACCTTGCTGCATTTCCTATATTGTTTCATGTCAAACTTCAATGAATGGTTTAAGTAATAGGGGATCTTTTATTTCAGTCAAAATACAATAGTTATAGTGTCCGCTTCTAGAGTCTAGTGAAGTAGAAATAATATGCTCTTAAGCATTATATGAAACACTATCTTAGGAATTATAAGAGCAAATGTAGCATCAGTTAAATAGCCATTAAAGAAAAACAGATAAATCAAAATTACTTTTAAAGAGAGAAAACATAGGTAAATGTTTTTCTGGGGTTGTGGATATTCAGGGGGCTGCTGCTGTGGAAGCTTAAACCTGAATGTGACCCTGAGGCCCACTGTGGAAAAGCTTGGGATTTAAGCTCTGTTTTAGCCAATTTTTGTCTGCTGTGACCTTTTCCCCCCCTTAGCTCGTTGAGCTTTTCCTCAGTGGATAGAGATGCCAATCAACTTTGTTGAGTTTTTTTTCTCATGGGACATAATCCATCTTTAATAGAAAGAAGTGTTTCTTTCTAATTCTTTCTCTAGATTTTTGGCCATCTTTCCACAGGAGTTGCATTTCTTTTGGTGTTTTCATATATTTGGGGAAGTTTTTTTTCAGTTTTTTTTTCTAAGCAGTAAATTCCCTCCTTGATTAGTTATCAGCAAAGTTTCACTATATGTTCTTGATGTAGTTCAGTCAGTATTTGTGACAGTGTCTCTTTTTGACAAAAGGAAACAACATTCTTGCGAGAGGGACCGGATGGGAACAAAGGTTGATTGAGTAAGTCCTTATTTTGGTCTCATGGTTCCTTAAAATGTTTGTACTTACAGAGTTCAAGGTTACTGTTTATTGTTGTTTTGGAATAGAGGACGAGGTGAGTTCTCCTTTGTGTAGACATACCTCTCAGGCCCCACTTAAATGCTCCAAGATGGCAGTGGTGTTTCTGTGTATCTGTAGTGAATTGGGGTGGAGGGATGTAATGAGTAGAACTGAGGAAACTGGCATTAGAATTGTTCTTAAAACAAATACTGCTTCTTCTTCACTTTGCCTCCCAATTTTTGTGTTAGAGTTAATAACGGGCCAAATCAAAGTGAATTAAACTGTGTTTTCAAATCAGAGTTTATTGATTTAGGTTCTTCCTTATTTATGTATTTATTTGTTTGTTTTTTAAGGATGACCTAGTTGGCTTTATGGAGCGAGAGTTAGCAACATGCAGAATGTGTCCTTAAGAGCAGTTTGGGACCAGGCGCCTTGTGCAGGGCACAAGGCACTGTGTCTGCATATGAATTCTTAACTGTTGATGTGATGGGGAAAAAATCCAGGTCAGAATAGTACAATGGCCATGTAATCCAGGTGGAGCGCATAATTATCTCCCTTATCGTGAGCCAACTATGGTACGCACATGGAGCAGCTTGAAAAAAATGTGAATCATGAGTAAAAATAGGAGAAAAGATAACCCAGATTCTGTTTTTTGTCATTTGTTCTCAGCACATAAAACTGCTCCTTTATTTTCTTTGTAAGTTTAAATATTTCCTTTTCCCTTTACCAGCCATCAATGTTTCCCTTATTTTGCTTTAAGACTCCTCTTGACTAATGTAAAATCTTTACTTCAGAACTAAAGATATACAGTACTGACCTCGGAATGATCTGCAATTCAGCCAGCTCTAAGTTTGATAATCAGCATCTCATAGAGCTTTTCCTACATCCTTTTGTGAAGAAAGAAAAGTCTGAATTATTTCTTCCTATGTAGTTATGCCAGCCACAAGTTAACCTGTCCTTAGAAGCAGCAAAAGACAGTTGGCTTAGCTGTTTATTTTTTTATTTTTATTTTATACTAGAGGCCTGGTACATGGGTTCGTGCACCGGTGGGGTCCCTCGGTCTGGCCTGCACCCTCTTGCAATCCAGGACCCCTTGAGAGATCTTGGAGAGCCGATTTCGGCCCTATCTCTGCAGGCCAGGCTGAGGGATCCCACCAGTGCACAAATCCATGCACTGGGCCTCTAGTATGCATATAAGATCTTTGGTAATCTCTTCCCTCTGAGATTCATCAGTCTGTTCCATGTTTCCATGCCTGTGCATTGAGTGTCTGCTCCCTGGTGGTCAGTGCATGTCATAGCTATCAGTCAAATGGTCACTTAGGCTTTTATATATATAGATATTTATTTTAAATATATTGTTATTGGTTTCAGAGAGGGAGAGAGATAGAAACATCAATGATGAGAGAGAATCATTGATTGGTTGCCTCCTGCAATCCCCACACTGGGGATCAAGCCCTCAACCCTGGGCATGTGCACTGACAGGGAATTGAACCGTGACCTCCTGGTTCATAGGTCGATGTTCAACCACTAAGCCATGCCACCTGGGCATTGTTTAGCTGTTTAATGTAGAGCTACTTATTATGTGCCCCTCTGTCTTAGAGCTTAATACTTTGAAAAATCATCCACTTCCTCTTTAATGTTATTTCAGATTGATGTTACATAGTCAGAGTTCAGTAGAAACAACATGATAAATTAGCAAGAATGTATAAGAAACCACAGGTTCTTTGTTTTATTTTAAAATGTGACCTGTAGCATGTTTGTATTTGGTACACCTTGAAAAATATATTATTAAGACTTCCTTCCTGAACTTCAAATGAAAAGTTATCAGGGTGCACCCTAACACCACCATTCTTTAGTAGCTGCTCCTTCAATGACCACAGGTCATATCCAAGTTGTGACTTGTTCATCAGCACCCTAAGTATAGTACAAATTTAATGGAGTCTTTGGGATTACTGAAATTTTGGCCTCCCTTCTTTTCATTTTATTGAATTTATTGAGGTGACATTGGTTAATAAGATTATGTAGGTTTCAGGTATACAATTCTATAATATATTATCTGTATATTGTATTACTAGAGGCCTGGTGCACGAATTCATGCATCAGTGGGGTCCCTCGGCCTGGCCTGCAGGACTCGGCTGAAACTGGCTCTCCGACATCCCCTGAGGGGTCCCAGATTGCAAGAAGGCGCAGGCCAGGCCAAGGGACCCCACTGGTGCACAATCAGGGATGGGGAGGGCGTGAGAGGTTGGCCAACTGGGGAGGGAACGAGGGAGGGCTCCAGGGTGTGTCCGGCCCATCTCTCTCAGTCCTGATTGGCTGGACCCCAGCAGCAAACTAACCTACCACTCAGAACATCTGCCCCCCGCTGGTCATATGTCATAGTGAGCGGTTGAGCGGCCTTAGCATATCATTGGCATATTACGCTTTGATTGGTTGAATGGACGACCGGACACTTATCATATTAGGCTTTTATTATGTAGGATGTGTTCACCACCCCAATAGGTTCTTCCTTATGTGTCTATTACATTTAAGCCAGTTTTCAGGTTGTTGTTGTTGTTGTTTGTAATCATGTTTATACTAGTCTCAGGCTCCATGAACTGAATTTGATTCAGTTTTTTAGATTCATCAAGACCTAACATCTTCATGAGTTGATTATCTCGTGTTGCATTTTGAAAACCATTCAGTTAGGTGGTAGAACTGCAGTAGTAGAAGGGACCCTCGGGCTCACCGTGCACCCACCCACTGTGCGGAGATCATTTCTCTACCATCCTTGAGAGTGCATCATCCAGCCTCTGCTTGAACAGCTATACTTACTGGGCTTTTACTAGTTCTGGATATGCTACATTTGTTTTCACACAACCTTAATTATTGGAAAATTCTTCCCCAGAGTGTGCTGAAATCAACTTCCACTCACTGATGCTAGTTCTGCCTTTGGAGCCTCACCAGAGCAAACTAATTCCTTTTCTCTGTGATAGCTTCACTTTTAAGGTGTTTGAAGACTTCTCCCTTCATTTTCCAAAACAGGAAACAGTTGTACACTTTTTTTTAAATTAAATATTTATTATTCAGATTATTACAGTTGTTCCTCTTTTTCCCCCCATAGCTCCCCTCCACCCGTTTCCCACCCCACCCTCCGCCCTCACCCCCCACCCCCACTGTCCTCATCCATAGGTGCATGATTTTTGTTCAGTCTCTTCCCGCATACCCCACACCCCTTTTCCCCCCCAAGAATAGTCAGTCCACTACCTTTCTATGTCCCTGATTCTATTATAATCACCAGTTTATTCTGTTCATCAGATTATTTATTCACTTGATTTTTAGATTCACTTGTTGATAGATGTGTATTTGTTGTTCATAGTTTGTATCTTTACCTTTTTCTTCTTCTTCCTCTTCTTAAAGGATACCTTTCAGCATTTCATATAATACTGGTTTGGTGGTGATGAACTCCTTTAGCTTTTCCTTATCTGTGAAGCTCTTTATCTGACCTTCAATTCTGAATGATAGCTTTGCTGGATAAAGTAATCTTGGTTGTAGATTCTTGGCGTTCATCACTTTGAATATTTCTTGCCACTCCCTTCTGGCCTGCAAAGTTTCTGTTGAGAAATCAGCTGACAGTCGTATGGGTACTCCCTTGCAGGTAACTGACTGTCTTTCTCTTGCTGCTTTTAAGATTCTCTCTTTGTCTTTTGCTCTTGGCATTTTAATTATGATGTGTCTTGGTGTGGTCCTCTTTGGATTCCTTTTGTTTGGGGTTCTCTGCGCTTCCGGGGCTTGTAAGTCTATTTCTTTCACCAGGTAGGGGAAGTTTTCTGTCATTATTTCTTCAAATTGGTTTTCAATATCTTGCTCTCTCTCTTCCTCTGGCACCCCTAAAATTCGGATGTTGGTATGCTTGAAGCTGTCCCAGAGGCTCCTTACACTATCTTCATATTTTTGGATTCTTTTTTCATTTTGCTTTTCCAGTTGGGTGTTTTTTGCTTCTTCGTATTTCAAATCTTTGACTTGATTCTTGCGATCCTCTAGTCTGCTGTTGGGAGTCTGTATAATATTCTTTATTTCAGTCAGTGTATGCTTAATTTCTAGTTGGTCCTTTATCACAACCTCGAGGGTCTCATTAGATTTCTTGAGGGTCTCATTAAGTTTATCGGCGGTTTCTAGAAAATTCTTGAAAAACCTTAAAAGTGTGGTTTTGAACTCTATATCCAGTAGTTTGCTTTCCTCCATTTCTGTCATTTGTGTCCTGTTTCTTTGTCTTCACATTTTTTATGCTTCCCTATGTTGATAGAGTGGCTTTCTGTGCTAGGTGTCCTATAGGGTCCAGTGGCTCAGCCTCCCCAGTTACCTGAGGTGGATACTCTTGGTGCACCCCCTTGTGGGCTTTGTGCACAGTATTGTTGTAGTTAAGCCTTGATTGTTGTAGGTAACACTGGGAGGAATTGACCTCCAGGCCAATTGGCTGTGAGAATCAGCTGTGCCTGCAGTAGAACTTCTGTGCTGGAGACACCCCTCCGGGCAAGACTTGCTTCAATGGGGCTTTGGTGCTCACTGAGTCTGCCCCCTGAGTGTGTCCTTTATGAATCCGAGGAGCTGCAATCTGGATGGTCCCACTCTGACCACCAGGCACACTGGCTCCTGGATCTCTAAGGAGGTGCTAATCTAGCCTCTGCCTGAGGGTATCCAGTGGAGCCAGCTGTGATGCACTGCAAGTTGCCCTGGGGCCTTGGGCCAGCTGCAGTTTGTTAGGTAATTATCAGATTGCAAAGGGCCAGGCCTTTCATATGCAAAAGCCTCCGTGGCTTGGGCAGGTTGGGTCCCAGGGGATCAACAGGGCGGAGCGAGCAGTTATGGCTGCTCAGTCCTGCCCTCAGAGGCCCTGCTTCTCAGTGTCCCGGCAATCGCTGCAAGCACCCCCGAGAGAAAGCTGCCCTCGAGTTCCGACCGATGCCAGACAGTCCAGTTTC